ACATTCTGCAGGTGAATATCAATTCACCCTTGTGTGTGTGTGTGTTGTCCACGTGTCACTCAGTCTGTAAATAAGTTGGTTAAATATACTTGTGTCAGGACAATTCTCACTCGACACCGGCGTAAAATCATCAAAACAGGTTATTTAGTGTTTGCAAAGAGGAGACAGAGTTAACACACATACAAGTCATGCGCCAAGCCTGCTCAAAGGTTTTCATCTTTGGAGCAGGAATACTGCAGGTATGGCATCAAAACACAGGGATGGTTACGCACATACAGAGGATTGTTTACCCTCACGGGACAGAACGTCCGTCCCGAGGCCAGCGCCCCTAATCTCGGCAAAACAAGATGTCTGCAAGCTGAGGGTAGCAAAAACCTTGTGTTGTCTAGTCCTATTGATCTCATGACACACATTATTTGCAGTTTTTCCAACAACCTGGTAGATGATATAAGTGTTAGTTAGCCTGTGTTGGTCCCTCTGGACTCAGCGGCGCAGACATTTGCAGTAGTATTGTCTTCATGTAGGCCACAGTAACTGTGATTCTACAACTACATTGATTTTGATACAAAGTTACTAAAATTGAAATGAATGAAAATGCGTATGATGCAGAAACAGATGGTCGATGTAATAGATCAGATTAGGCCGACCATTTTTTTTCTCTGGTTTTCCTCATAATTGCTTTCAAAAGTTCCAGAGTTTATGCCGTTTTGGAATGAGCCGATTGCTTGTCTTTAATAACCTTTTGGTCTCTTCACAGGCATTTTTTTTTCACAAATAACCCTGATGCCCGGGTGAGGGCTACTAATTATAAGGATGGTGATGCGTTATGACATCATGAAGTCAGCTTGTTTCAAGCTGATTCCCAAGCACTCAAAACTGTTCACTTTCTCCACCTCAGCTCCATTGGCGTAGACAGAGATGTGTGTCTTTGTGTGTTCTCTCTTTAAACCAGCTCCTTGGTTTTACTTATTTAAGTCGAGCAGCAGGTAGTTTTCAGAGCACATTTATGCACGGTTGTTAATGCCTTCTCTCTATCGATTCTCATAAGGCTTATAACAGTAGTGTGAAACGGAAAATGTCTAATTAGTATATACTTCTACTTAGCATAGTGTATTCCTAAGTTATTGTACTTTGAACTCACTAAAGCTGCGTTGTGTTAGCATACATGCTCATGTGTATCTTTCTGACTGTGGATCTGTTCGCTCTGTATGCACACTGGTGAAGGTGCCAGCTGGCTGGTTGACTTTTATATGCTAGATATCAAAGTACTACTAGTACTCGTACTACAACTACTACTACTGCTACCAATACCACTACTACAAATTATATTATTACCGCAACTTCTACTTCCTGCTACCACCTATACTACGATTAACACAACTAAGTTGTCTGAAAGTTAATAAAGTCTTTCTTAACTTATTTCTGCTGCTCCCTTCCTCAAGCCTGTGTTTATTTTATATACAGTATATATATATATATATATATATATATATATATATATATATGTGTGTGTGTGTGTGTGTGTATATATATGTGTGTATACATATATGTATATACAATAGCGCTATTGATAGGATCCACTGAAGGGAGAAATAGATAAAGAGGGGAAAGCTTTCACACCACGTGTATGCGTGTGCGTTCACCTCATCAGTCACAAACAGTTGCTCTACTAGTTAGTTCTTAGCATTAGTTTTACAAACATAATACAGTAAATGAATGATTTTCTAATAATGGCATCTTTCCTGCTCTGATAACATGGTTCTCTTGGATTATTATTCATGAATCCTTTCCCGGTATATCCACATTATTTCAATGCCATCTTTGATTGTGTGTTCACATTCTGCAGGTGAATATCAATTCACCCTTGTGTGTGTGTGTGTTGTCCACGTGTCACTCAGTCTGTAAATAAGTTGGTTAAATATACCTGTGTCAGGAAAATTCTCACTCGACACCGGCGTAAAATCATCTAAACAGGTTATTTAGTGTTTGCAAACAGGAGACAGAGTTGACACACATACAAGTCATGCGCCAAGCCTGCTCAAAGGTTTTCATCTTTGGAGCAGGAATACTGCAGGTATGGCATCAAAACACAGGGATGGTTACGCACATACAGAGGATTGAATCCTTTCCCGGTATATCCACATTATTTCAATGCCATCTTTGATTGTGGGTTCACATTCTGCAGGTGAATATGAATTCACCCTTGTGTGTGTGTGTGTGTGTGTGTGTGTGTGTGTGTGTGTGTGTGTGTGTGTGTGTGTGTGTGTGTGTGTGTGTGTGTAGAAGCACAGCTTCAGAAGCTACTTGTGAGTCAATCAATTCTTGCATTGGCCATGAGCCTCGTTCCCATTGGCTGCCCTGACGGAGGCTGGTGAGGTGGGGGCGGTTTAGTCGCAAGATAAAAGGAGCAAATGTCTCTTGTCCAGCTTATACACACACACACAAACACGCTCAACACGTGCCTGTCTGTTTGTTCTTTTGCGGAGCGCCAAACAAGCGGAAAAGATCCACTATCCGAAGCTCTCACTTTAAAATGTAAGTATGCGCACACACATACATGCAGCCGTGTTTAATCCTATTGGAGATAAGGATCAGGATCAGGATAAGACAGACATGCAGGGTTACACTTGTTGAATGAATGACAAGGTGTTGCCGCAGAACAAGGGTCAACGCTTGTGTGCTGTTTAGATTGGACCCATGTCAGTACATTATAAAAGGGCTAATGATTTATTGTTGTATGACCACAACATTATTATTAAAAGATGCATGGCATGTTCTTGGTTTGCACATATTAGGCATAAAAATGGTACAGAGTCTTTCCCTTATTGATTATGTTATATGTTGGTGTAATCAAGGACACCCCGACAAGGCTATTAATCAGGTTTTTAGTAACTATCTATATTTTAGTATGAAAGAATGAATTTATAACAATCTGGTCAAATTGACTTCATATTATTTTTCCTGCAGGCCTTTCTGTTCGTGTCAGTCCACAACGTGAAGGGAAACTAAGCTATGATCAGACTGGCTTAATGTGTTGTTAAGAGGGTCAAGGATTTTTACATACATCTAAATTGTGCAACTGTGTCAAGGAGCATGGCTTAGGATGTGTGCATGTTTGTGCTGCTTTTCTGTAAATTAAAACATTCTATTCTATCATTATTTAAAAAAGGATTTAAGCCAGCGATGTAAATAACTGAGGCTGATTAATATTTAACCAACCATTGTAAATGTGTTTCACCACCAAGTCACTTATACAGGAAGAAATAACTTAATAATAACAATAATTGGGGTTTAATTGTATAACTGTGGGGGGAAAAGTATACATTTTGGCTGTTATTCTTGACTTTAAAGATCAAAAATAATTCCACCTCGTGTGACAAGCCAATCTGTGAGAAAGGGAAGTTGTTCTTTGCATCATTGCTCTTTTATCTTTCAAATCGTTGAAATGCACTCTGCCCTGTCAGACATGAGCCTGAGGGGCGAATTCATAGCAATAGATCAGCCGTAGGACGGACATTGAACGGTTATCTGTGTGCATTTTACTGGTGCAAAAGAAAATTGTGTGTGTTATTAGCTGTTATGGTCAGTCAGCTCAGGAAACAGCTTTTTAGATTTTATATAAATACATACATATTGTATATCAATGCTTTTTTTAGGTTGCAGCACCCTCAGGAGAGTGTCATTACAACTTCTATTGTATTATATTATTGTTATTACATTATTTTTGATTGCTTGTACTCATTAGACCCGGATTGAAAGGAATATTGTTGATATCTGACATCAAGCCCGAAACAAATACCCCCCTTAAAATACCCCCCTTTTCTTTTTCCACCTTTCCCCAACTGGAATAGCGTATAGTTAAAAGCTATATTCCTAATAATGATTTTCAAATTGTTATTATTATTATTATTAATAACTAACTTCCATGTAGAAATAAAAACTATGTAGTCTATTCTTTCTCTGCTGGCATATCACTTCAAAGCGCTCCAATTTCTTTGTGCTTACGCTCCCAGTGCTTCTAGTTGAAAACCCAACTTTTTGGAAAGGCACTGCACCCCTTGAAATAATGCTAAAATCAACAAGTGTCTCTTATAAAAAAAAAACTTTTTTGATTTGACAGTACAAACAAATCTCACTTGGAAGGGGACTGGTGGTTACATTTCCTTGTTTGAACGACAGCTTTCAAATCAACTAAACCAACTGTCATGTCCGAGACAAACTGAGTCAACGGGTTACGTGTTAAAATAGTAGAAAAAGGATAAGAAAATATCTCTGCAATGTATATTTGGTGGACATTTTGACCTCCAACCATCTCAACCATCTCAGCTCACCTTGACCTAGAACATGACAAGCAGGACTTCATCATAAAGGTGGTTATGTCACGGCTCGTGAGAGGGATCCAAAAGCAAACACCGGAACCAGGTAAAGTATAAACACAAAATGCGTATTTATTGTCTCTCTTTCCAAACGACAACTGAAATACTCTGGCCTTCCGGCAATCCTCCGCACCGAACGTAGAACTGAATGTCTCTCAAAAACAACTCAAATACTCAGGCCTTCCGGCAATGCACCGCCGTCGTCGGCGGCGTCCCGTGTCTCCCTCGTGACGTAGGAATGGAAGCCACTGAAGTCTCCGGACCCAGGAAAACGCGTGTCTGGAAGGCTGTACTCGGCAATCCCTCGGCGCCGAACCTCTGAAAGATGTCCCTCTTTAACTGCTCCCTGAAGACTTGCAGCAGCTGCCAGCGATGAGTGCACTCCTCCCAGCTGCCCTGCATCAATCTGATTAGACCACAGAAGAGAGAACAAGAGTCCCACCCGCTACCTCCAGAATTACTGTGGCTCCCCCTTGTGACCCTGTCCCGTATCCCCACAGGTTAATTATCCCCCAATTCATTCCCAGCTGAAATCAAAGGTTACACACTGATTATGTGGCGTTAAAATATGAAGAACGTGGTTCTTGAGAAATGATTGTTCCTCTGCTGTGTTTCAGCGGTACCATGGATGCCGCAGAGTTCCGGCGAAGAGGGAGGGAGATGGTGGACTATGTGGCTGACTACCTGGAGAACATTGAACAGCGTCCGGTCTACCCAGACGTGGAACCAGGGTATCTTCGTTCCTTGATCCCCACTGAGGCCCCACTGGAGCCTGATAATTATGATGACATTATCAAAGATGTGGAAAGGATCATAATGCCAGGGGTGGGGTTACACTTTTGTTGATGTATTGATGCAAAGATTGACTTTATGTTGCAACGACTCTCTCGGGTTTTTCTGCAGAGTAATTCAGATTAGTAAGATTTCCATTTTGTGGATTAATGTCAATAGATTTAGAAATAGAATTGAGTGATCTGACGACAACAAGCTGCTGCAGTGTCTTCCTTATTAAGGCGTTCTGGAGGTTCACCTCACTTAAGTACTTTGCTATGACACTATCAGGTTTCAGTTGTAACAAAAAACAACAGCATTTTACTTCAGGCATTTTACAAATTAATTTCTTTTTTACCGAAGAGGTGCCAGTCAGGCAAAAAAATCACATTCATTTTTTGCCAACCCCTTGCTCCCAATGATGAACCAGGTCAAATGAATTAAGTATTTGCATGTTTTGTGGTTTTTCCAGGTAACCCACTGGCAAAGCCCTTACTTTTTTGCCTACTTTCCAGCTGCAAGCTCTTACCCGGCCATGTTGGCCGACATGCTATGTGGAGCCATTGGCTGTATTGGATTCTCCTGGGTAACAAACTATTGCTGTGTCTCTGTATATGATACTGTATTTTTCTTATGTAGTTCATATTTCTATGTGTGTTTGTGTTTTCAGGCTGCCAGCCCGGCCTGTACCGAGTTGGAGACAGTGATGTTGGATTGGCTTGGGAAGATGCTGAAGCTGCCCGAGCATTTTATAGCCGGGACTCATGGCCACGGAGGAGGTGTCATCCAGGTACATTTCCTTTTTGTTGGATTTTATGCTTCCCTGCAGAAATGTTGTCTGGCAGTAAAATGATTAAAACCAACCATGCTAACATTTACACTCTTCTGTGATTTTCAACAGGTGTTAAGTCAAAAGCCCACATTTTACAGGCTTACAGGAACCATGACTCAGAATTGAGAGCCCCCTGAAACAATGTTCAATAGCAATTATCTTGTTATCAATTTGTCGTATTTTTCTCTCCCTTGTTCACACCAGCTGAAAATTGGCAGCAAATTGCCTTTCCAATATGTCAGACGGAGATGGCTTTGCTGGAATGGTTCAGTGTTCTATTGACTGAAACACAGTAGCAGCAGCACTCACACACACACATATATATATATATGTGTACGTGCGTGTTCACAGGACAGAGGAGCATGAGAGTGCATTCTGATGACAGATCGTTTTATGCCTCTTTTATTGTGACCACCCGAGTGTAAGAGTGGGTGTGTGTGTGTGTGTGTGTGTGTGTGTGTGTGTGTGTGTGTGTGTGTGTGTGTGTGTGCTCATCTGGCTCATTGTGTTTTTGTTTTGTCTTGCCACTCTCCTTTTTAAGTGCAGCTCACCAGCTCACTATGGCAACGAAGGGGGTCTTCCCGCTGCAGCAGGGCTAATGAGTGTTTTGACAGCAAATTGCAAGACTATTATTATAAACATTACAACAACACAAAGTGGAAATTGGATGTTTTCAAAAATAACTTTCTAGTGACCTTAGAGAGAAATTATTACAATGATTCTTGAGCAGTGGATCATGAGCTCTTATCATAAAGAGCAATTAGACATTTGTTTTCAGCTATGAACATTTGCACGAGGTTCCCAATGTTAAGATTTGAAACCAACTCAGCAGAACGTTTTTTTGCGGTAATCTATTGAAGCTGTTAGAATGTAATTAAAGACTACCATATTCAGAGGCAGACAAATGTATTAAACTAGAAAAGAAGACAGTACACTTTCAAACTTTCATCCTTTTATTTGGTTCAGTTCCTATGATGATCCATAGCCACATGCCTCTTAATCACAGAAATCTGATGGAAAAATGGATTGATGGATGAATTATATCTGGCCCCAACCTCTTAAAATCTGCTTAATGGTATTCTGTATTATTTTAGCTGGCTTGGAGGATACATTTGTGCAAACTAATTTAAGGATCCGAGCATTGTATTGACTTGTTTGTGGTAACATCCCCAGATACCTAAGAGTCATGCTTCACTTCATTATTTTGCCTCAAGCAATTTTCCCCGCTGGCTGGGTAATAGATAGATTTCTTCTATAAGGAGGATGTGCCAATACGTCCAGAGGGAATATCAGCTTTATGTGATTGCAAAAGGTTTGGGTGTAATTGTATTAATCAACAGGAATGAATTGGACATCAGGAAGTAGAAACCACACCCATATTTATACACCAAGAGGAAATCATAAGTACTTTTACTTTCCCTCACAATATATTTTGCGTTTTAATGCAAAAAACTTGAATTCTTTGACAATACTTTGTGTTACTTTGCAATACTTTTGTTCTTCCGCACAGCCACATGTCTGATTTGCTGATCCACGAGCAAACGCTTTACTAAGTGCTTTATATTGGACCAAAATGTAAATACGGCTAACATTTAAATCAGTGTAATGCTTAAAAAGTTCCCTGTAATCCTCCAACAGAGCACAGCCAGTGAGGCAACCCTGATGTCCTTGCTCGCTGCCCGCTGTAAAGCAGTGAGACGGGTTCAGGAGACAAACCCCGAAAGACTGGAGGCTGAAGTTCTATCCAAACTGGTGGCGTACTCCTCTGAGCAAGTAAGCGCAACAATACATTTCATGATTTTACACACATTTCTGACTTAGTTCATGATTGTTTAATACAGATAATAGCAATTATCAATAAACCTTACTGTTTGCTACTTTAGGTTTATATAACTGTATCACTTTACACACTCTGCAAATACATTGGTTTCTACAAACATCCTCAATCAAGTTGTCCAGGTGAACTAAGATCATGAAAAGGTTTCCCAGTAACGTGGAACAGTTTTGCAGTGATTCAGTGTGATAGAGAGTCAGTGAGACAGGAGCGAGCTCTGGTCAGGTTTAATACCGGGCGGACTCTGTGATTGGGTTAGGAAGTTGCCTGAGGGCCTCAAAGACCTTTATTGGGCAAGCGGTTTGTTGCGCACCCAGTGCACATGTCTGTTATGTGTATTTATTTCCGCTTGTTGATCTGTTGTACGTGATCAGGGATATCTAATGGAAGCTCTGGTGTTGAGTAGGTGCAGGCTTATCCTCACAAGTAAAGTCGCCATACAAAATTGTTCCGCATCCATGAATTACATACTGTTTTCAAAAAGGTTACATGTGTTTCCTAAGGCCCATTCTTCCGTGGAGCGTGCGTCCCTGATTGGAGGAGTGATGATGAGGAAGGTTCCCACAGATAACACCTATGCTGTTGGAGGGGGAATGCTTAAAAAGATGCTGGAGGAGGACAGAGCGGCTGGACTAATCCCCTTCTACGTAAGAAAAGACAAAAAAAAAAACAGCATCCACCCAGTTCACTATCATAAAGCTGCTGAACACATCACAAAAATCTACTGCGTCTATAACAATATATATGGTTAATTTCTCAATTGTGTTCTTTTGCTACAGATGTAAATATGACAACCTTTTACACAAATACAATGATGCAATTTGTTTCACACCGCTCGAACAGCCCGTGGCTTCGGCTGAAGGATAACATTGTTTGTGTTGAGCCTAATGCATGTCTATCTGGTTAAGGACAATAACCCCTGTCTCAGGTAGATCCATTTGTCACTATCAGTGAACAATATTCAGGAGGCTGCAATGGTACATCGGATTTGAATCGTCTGTGTGTACTGAAAGTGACATTCACATCTATGTTTGATTGAACAAATTATACGTATATCTGTGTTTATGAGACATAAAAACTAGCTGCATGACTGTGAATTCTTAATTCATTTTTATAAAACACTTAAGTGTGTTAATGATTTGTGTGCTGGTGTCTTTCAGTTCTGTGCGACTCTTGGTACCACCTCCTCCTGTGCTTTTGATCACATTACCGAGCTGGGGCCCATATGTGAGTCAACCTCTGCTTCAGCACACACTTGATCTTTTTTGTTTTGCAACAGGAAAAGTATTGTCACACAAAGTGTATTAGCTTTACAACAGACACTTTGATGTGAGAGGTGCCTGGATGTTGGGGAGAAGAATCCAAATCAAGAGGGTGTAACCAACTATACTGCACGATGTGTGTGTACATTCAGAAACACATGTGTTTCTTGAGCTATTTTGCACCCTATTTACTTACCTCAGTATTTACAATCTCCAATAATACCTAACTGAACATAGATAACTTCAATTAACGGATGGATGTGTTATAAAAAGATGTGTTTTTAGAAATCCATGCATCATGCATGTTTTGTGTCTATTTCAGGTAATGAGGAAAATATGTGGATGCACATCGATGCAGCGTATGCAGGGAGTGCATTCATCTGTCCGGAATTTAGGCCTTTGCTGAATGGCATTGAGGTGCGTAAAAACATGCAAGCATTCATGTCCAAATAGTGCACGGACACTATAACATAACAGAGTATAACAGAGACAGGATTGGATTTGAACCTCCGCTATTCCAATATGTATAGGGCGGATTTAACATTGTTTAAGTGTACTCAGAAAGTGTGCATCCACCTCCAAAGACGCACGATGCTTCTGAATGACGAGAAAACCTTATTCTGTTTAATTGGTTTTGGAATATCTCTCATAGCATCTATGAAAGTAAAAGGCAATTGCATACTGATGATATCCAGTTGCTTTATTTCTATTTGAAAACGGCATAACGTTAATGTCAAGGAGGAAGCGTGCAAGAGCGAGTAATATCCCGAACGATTGCCAGAAGCGCGGGAGCATCAATCTGCCTTTTGAGGCTGCCGAAGCAGCTGTTGCTCCCAGAGCTGTGCAGAGACGCAGAGATAAGGAGAGAGTAATTTCCTGAGGCAGCGTAGGACCTTTATATATATATCACTGTTCATTAGACACACAATGTTGGTGCAAAGACAGAGAAAACAGACTTAACTGTTAAATGACCAACAGTTGTTTCATCTAAACTCAGGTAGTTACACATTTTGCTCCTGTGATCTAGATTTTCAATTTGAAGTGTTTTTTGATGCAATAGAAATCAGGGTCATTCTTGAAGGAAGTGGATTTCTAATTTAAAATGATGTAAATATCAAAATATATGACATGGATCACAAGAAGTGACCCACTCCTTTGGGACGGCAGTGCCGCCCTGCTAAGGACTTGGTTGCTAGGATATGGGTGACGGGCAAGCAGGCAACCAGCCCTCCTTGAATCCGTCAGCATGGCAACTGTCAGCCAGGAGTCTGTCCCCCATTGTCTCTCCATGCGGTGTTATTGCATTTATGAGATAGAGAAAAAGGATATTACAAGAGATAGCCAACAACAGATGAAAACAGATTCGAAAAGGTTTGTTTCCCTTTGAAATAAACCGGCCGGGAAAGGGTTATTTTCCATGTGCTCCATGAGCTGTTGGCTGGATATCGCTCTTTTGCATTTCAAATAAATTGTGCAAGCCTTAATTTAGATAATGGTCCTGGTGAAAAGGTTGTCTCTGAGTCAGTAATGGTAAATTAACATATAGTACTGCGTGGGATTTAGCCAAAATGCATTTTTCAACTTGTGCTGATATAATATAAGAAAGATGATCTTGAATTAAGAATTATAATTTTATTTTATTTTGTTTTCCTTAGGGCAACTTTATCAAAAAATATATGGCAGTACATGGAGACTTGACTGAAAGCCACTTATGTTTTGTGATAGTTTCGTGATAATTTCGTCAGACCAGAGACGAACAAATAATGTTTTTTTTGTCCTTTCTTTTAAAGTTTGCGGACTCTTTTAACTTCAACCCACACAAATGGCTTTTAATCAACTTTGACTGCTCTACAATGTGGTAAGTTATGCATGTCACTGCTCTGTGCAAAGCAGAAGTGGTTGTTTACATTTCAGTGCCATAAACAAACTGTCAAAGAGTTGACTTATGAAATATCAAAATATCAACACATACTGCTCGAAATAATTAAATGAACCGAACTAAAGTGTGCAGCTACTCTAAACATTCTTTACAAAAGATGCCATTCTTTTATATTTGCCTCTACCAAATTATATTTACACAATTTTGTCATTTAATAAATTGACCTCAGAGGTTTCCATGGTCCCATGAAGGAACAATGAGTGGTCCATTTAAATCTGACATCAATCTACACCACATTCATCAGAACAGTAAACACAGCTACGCCTCCCAGATGCCCCTTTCGTCAACAAAACGAGACATGCTTTGCAAAAGGAAACGGACGAGTTTCAAACCTCAACATGTGCTCAAGGGAATTTTTTTTACTTTTTCCATCACCTTCTCTGAATATTCAGTCGCTCTGTTACGTTAAATTTATTGCATTTTTATGACACATTTCTGCGCAAACATAATCATCAAAACTCAATTTTGAAAAAAAAAAGTGGTTAAATATGGTGTTATAATTTGTATGCACACCTATCAGCTATCAACCCGTTTTGTTGTCACAGTATTTGCATTGTGTGCAAAGAGCATATGCGCACAGTTGAATCTAAAGCAATCAACAGGGTAAAGAAGAGACAGGACATCATTGGAGCCTTCAAGGTGGAACCCCTCTACCTGAAACACGAGAACCAGGAGTCAGGTAGAGTTATTTAAATTAAAGACCTTAAATCCATGATTTCAGGTTGGTCGAATCTGGGGTCTACTGCATTGCGTAGTTTAAAAAATGAATAGTTGTGACCTTGTTTATCTTTCCCAATGTGAGGAAGGTGCTTAGTGTGCCCATTTCAGCCAACATTCACACAGATTCAGCAATAAACTCTGACGGTGGCACCAAGGTCCTAAATGCAGTGCAGTGTAGCCTAAAACAGATGAACACGGGCAAACCGATGTGTGACAACTAGACAGGTGCGTCAGTGTTTGGGACAAGCTATGCTAGTTTTAGAGCTCGGTAGACAGGAGATTTGTTTGTGTTTGGACTAAATGTAGGGAAGGCAGTCTGTCAACATGGTTTACAGTTAGTGAAAAGTGTGTGTGTTGAAATGCTGGCTTCTGTGAGCCATTTCTGTAATTATTAATTACACGTAGTTAAGCTAATATAGATATTTCTGACTAATTATTGCACTGCTTATCGCATTAATGCTCCAACTGCTTGATCAGTGCACCGCCGCCGATCAGCTGCTGGCGGTAGAAAACTAACGTCAGCAAGCAATGGCCCACAGGGTATGTTGGAGAACCAATGGCAGATATGCAGGGTGCAGATCCGCTGTCCTCCAATGACCACCCACCTCTGGGTTTGTTGCCTCCAGCTCTCTCCTCTCCTTTCTAGCCTCTCCAGCATCAATAAAGGGCCCATATCTTTACTAACAAAACTCCTTTTAGACTTATTTAAGAGACATAATGTTGATAATGATAATAATAAAGACAGTAATAGGCATTATATTTATTTCACATGTTTCCATTTTAGAGGCTAACATGATAAGAATAAATATTTATCTATATCGATGATATACATTTTCTTTTTTCATAAATAAATGACCATTGCTGAGTCGCTGCTCTCAAGCCAGTTCTTATCTCAGTTAGCATCGTAGCTTGTCTAATATTGGCATTTAGCAGCCTGTTGTCAAGCAGAGGCAGAGTAGAGCCGGATGGATGCTCTTCCACATGAACAGATCTGGCAACTGGGACAGATTATGTGATGGCACACCCCATTAACATCCTGAAAATCCTCTACAAGATCAATCATCAGAATGAAGATGATACTCAATTGACTTTAGAAACTATGGTTCTGTGCCTGTATGCAACTGTGTACGCTGGTGCATGTGTGCCTGGCCTGCAGCTGGGCTCAGAGCTGCACTCTAATTTGTCTGACAGAGAGAGAAAGACAAACCACTACCTCCCACCGCACGGAGGCACCTTGCAAGAGCTCAAACATTGTGGCCTATTCAATCTAATTAGTGGTTATTAGCAACAGCTAACGCAGGCCCCATTCTGCATAGATGAGATATCTGCAGCCAGATACACAGACGTGTGGAGTGACAGTGCTGTGATCAGTGAGATACTGTACAGGTGTTGGGCGTAATGACAGCAACACCTGGATGGTAAACGGCAAATACCAAATTAAAAATAGACAATGTCAACGTAAATCATTTTCAATATCTGAGCCTTGTTGATTCAGCTTTATCGGCAAAACTTCTGATGTTTTACTATGAGGAGAAATTGTCGTAGGAGAATGCAGACTGACCCTAGAAAAGCTTGAAAATTCAGCATGTTCAGTGATATGTTATGACATTATTTTGGGAACTTTTTCTTCTTTACACAGGACTGGTCACAGATTATAGGGTAAGATGAATCAATGTTTCAATTCATTTTTTAGGAATTGTTAGTAATCAAATAATCTTTGCGTAGTTTAAAGCTACAAGCACCCTCCTCCTCTCCTCCTTTGTCCTAAAAGCATTGGCAGATTCCACTGGGAAGACGATTTCGCTCACTGAAGATGTGGTTTGTCTTCCGTTTGTACGGGATCGAAGGCCTGCAGGCTCATATACGCAAGGTAGGAGACCAGGTGAACCCTCTCTGCCCTTCGTGATACAGTGTCCATGGTAACATGGATGCAAAGCTATGGTGATGTTGTACGTGTCGCTCAGAACCATCCTAAAGTCCTAACAATAACATTACTACATTATCAATGGAAGTCATGGTTCTTTATGGTCAATGCCATCTTCACCCCCCCCCCCTTCCACGTCCCGACCCACCGAATGCTTCTCAGCACTAAGGCCTGGTCTGGTCTTATCGCTGCCCCACCAGCATTTCCTGTCAGTCACATATGTCTGATCTGCACCTTCTTTTTATAGCAGCATTTTCCTACATTTCTTCTTCAATGGCCATCTTACGCACCCATGCTTCACCCCTCCATGCGTGTCTCCCCCCCTCATATTCCTCTTCCTGCCTCCAGTCTGCTCTGTCAATCAAATGAGTCTGTTTTGTGTTTACTCTCCATTTTAAATGAAGCGGCAGAACAGCAGTGATCCTTGAAGCCATAACCAATGACCAACAACTATACAGTTGTACACTGTGCATCCGCCCTCAAGATTAAATAAAACACTTTGAGATTTATTCTGCTCTTTTTTTGTTGCTTAATCTTGTAGAGTCAGAAAACATAATACAGCCTGTGTGATGTACTGATTGTGAGTTACATCTTCCTCTGGAAATCAAATCTTAATCCTACGTTGTATTACTCTCCTTTATAAACTCTAACAAATGATCATCCCATAAGGAATTCATGTTGTAAAAAGTGGCATTTTATTGATAAAAGCTTTAAATATGAAGTACATAGAATATGTCATAATTTAATCAGGCAATGAGGTCATTACAGTATATTGGCTTGTAAACAACCTCTGAATGATGATGATTTTCTGGCCGTGGATTAGGAAACTAGTCTTTGGGGCCCGTGTTTAGCCTCATTAGAGGATCAGGATCAGGAAACAAGGAGTTGAAGTTGCTCCACATAATTGTGATCAGATGTAGAGATGCACGTTTCTTCTTTTGCGATGCATTCAATATCAGGGCGGGCAATATAACCATAAATAGATAAATGTGTTAGTATGAGTTTGTTGGATCACACATTGACTCAGAACGTAAAGCACAGTGTTGCTATTTTCAGAGTTCTGTGCTCAGGCGGAGCTTTCTACCAGGGTTTGTTCTGTCCCTCAACATGTTGATAAAATGTCTCCTGTTATCAGCAGTGGAGCATTGGATTCCCAGTCAGTGGATACCATGTAGAGAGGTGCAGACTGAATCAGCTTGTTGCACAGTGCCGTATGCACTGTGCAGCGCTGCCATCTAGTGAGACTCACATCATGACAGTCTTTGCCAGAGTTGCTTGCTAACGCTTTCCACGTTTTGTAATGCTGTATCCAACCAATACACCAATTAATTGAATTTATAACCCCTCGCCCTTTCACTTGCTGTGAAATTTACAAAGCACCGGCATTAATTGGATGAGCATCGGACAGTCTCAGGTCTGCAGACTAACAGTATCTCGTGTCTCCTCTTTGCAGCAAGTGGTCCTGGCCAAAGAGTTTGAGAGTCTTGTTCGAGCGGACAAGAGGTTTGAGATCTGTGCCGAGGTGGTCATGGGCCTGGTGTGCTTCCGGCTCAAGGTAACAATGTCCAGCAACTGAGAACTGACATGTGGTGCTTTTTGTTAAACTCAAGGCAACACCAAAATCCCCCAGCTATTGTAAATCTGAACGATGTGAGCTTTTTCCCTTTCTTTTCCCTCAGGGCTCCAACGAATTGAACCAGCTCCTGCTCAAAAGGATCACGGAGAGCAGAACCATCCACCTGGTGCCTTGTCAGCTCTCCGGCCTCTTTGTCCTGCGCTTTGCCGTCTGCTCACGCGTCACTGACTCAGGCCACGTTCAACACGCATGGCGGCAAATCACACAGCTGTCCTGTGAGCTTTTGCAAAGTGATCACTGACCATAAAAGGGGGCCGTCCACCAGCGTGTCAAAGGCAGGACCAATGCAAGGACGAAAATGTCTTGTTTCGTGTTGCAGATGTAAAATGTCATGAAGGGAATGAACAATTAGCTGTTAAATTAGCAGTCAAGTATATTTCGGTCTGCTGCCATGTTATCTAGTCCAGTAAGCAGTAATCACTGTGCTGTTGATCCGTGTGAAAATAACTTGACCCAAAACCCAAATGTGTATGAAAGGAAAGAATGCAGGATGTCATATTTTACATTTTCTATCTGCAACTTCTTCGCTATTGACTTTGATGTATCTCTTACTTTTATTGTCCTCTTTGTACTGCAATCCTTCCGCTGTGAGCCTATATTGTCTGTCTATGCCGCTTCTATGTCTTCAAGTCCAACATGGGTTGGTTTATTGTAAATGTATTGTACATTGTTTGTCCGAATGGATTTATAAGTCAATGGGTGCTCTCACAGAAAAAGCTTTTAAATGTCCATGCTTTTTGTTATGCTTTCAACAAAGCATTAGTAATGAATGAGTTGTTGTAGACATACAAAGGCATGAGTTTTTGAAGTTAAAGAATTCAAATATCACTGCATATATTTGATATGTCCTTCACCACTATTTGTCCATCATGACGGATGTAAATTTGTCGTTATCAAACCTTGTTGTTAAGTCATATGACTTTGTCAAAGTATGATGATGTTGCTAAGCAGGGTGTTTTCTCGTTGAGTTGGCTGCATGCAATGTTGATGGTTTGAATAAAGTCTACAGTAGTCTGGATAGTTATTAATTCTCTTTCTTGAAATCCTCATTCATGATTTACAATTTATCAGGGTCCCAACCAAAGATGAAGAGGCCATGACAGTATGAAATAAGTCTATCTGGACACAACTCTTAAAACCTCTGCACAGCAATGAGACAAACAGAGACTGTCCCATTCTAGACACCACAAGCAACTGATGCAGTGAATGGTTTTGTTGCAGGTAAACTACTGAAAGAGTAGTGAAAATCCAGCCTGATGGTCCTGCTTTCTCTCCCCTGCAGCGTACTGCATTTAGGACAGACACACACACAACCAATCAACGTGCTGTGCCACTCAGTCTTCCCTCAGTATTCTAATCCCCCAATACCTTCTATAAATACAGATGAGGATTCAGTGTTAGATTCATTCTTAGCTCCTGATTACTTTTAATCTTATTGGCTTACTCATTCAGTGTCTTATAAATACATTTTTGTACACAAATGTCATGTCATGAGAATCATTGCAGGCTGGCATAATGTATCTATGCTGTAGACACACAGAATGGACTCCTAAACTTGTTGTTGGTATTCATATGGCTGTGTGGAAAAATGCATTTGTTAGAGATGTTGATATGAGTTTATTTCATACATATATTTTAAGGCATTACCAATAATACACAATATGACTTGGATGTGAAAATATAAACACATAACAATTAGAACATGGAGTCAGAATCTTGCTATATTCAGTTTGTTATTAAGGAACTACACTATTACAAACTCCAGCCCACTTAATTAATCATTCATCAGTCATTAATCCAGCAATAAAATAATCGCCTTATGATTGCAGTAACTGATCATTCGCTTCTATAGTGCTGACACATTTTGTGTAATGTTGTGTTACCGAAAAACATTCATAGTCGTTAATCCTGCCCCTAGTGTTTGTCTCCATCACTCTGATGGAGCATTAGCAAAGCAATGCTCCTGCAACTCAGGGAACATTTGTGTCAACAGAGTTGCTTAGTTCACCCACAAGAGGTCGCCACCACATCACGACACACATCGCTGAATATGACACTAATACATGGCTTACCCTTTGAGATTCTGTAGCGTCTGTGTGCTATCTAAAGACACTGCTGCTATATTTGTGTGTAATGCGTGTAGTGCCTTCGCCAAGGAAAGCTAAACTTTCAGTGCTGTGCATCTGCTGAGAAGTATCTTCCTCGACAAAGTGCAGGCAACACGACTTGATGGGATCAGCTGCCGAACGGTACCGCTGAGGCCCGGATGATGCATAAGGCGTTATTGGAATGCCAGTGTTATGTTCCAGTCCAACACATCACATCACACCAACCCTTTGCACACCAAGCCAGGCTGTTTGTTGAATCCAACAGCCTCAAATGATGGCTGTTTGAAAGTGGCTGGGTTTGCCCCAGACGTGTTTTCACTTGGGAGGCATCGGATGCGAAAACATAACAATCCACCAGCCATCAGGACATTACTGAATCTAAAGTCCCGATTGCACTTCAGACCTTAGAGATCAAATTACACGGCCAGCATTGAATGCCTCGTGTTGAACTGTGCACTGATTTCTGTTAACACTAATACTTGCAATTCTATTAAGATAATTGTTTCCTTTTGGATAATTCAATAGTGGTGTGATAAGTGTTATTTCACAACTTTAGTATGCGAGAGATACGGGGTTGTGTTTCATCTCTCCTGGGGATGTCTCTGTGTTCTATCAGTGGCGAGAGATTGTTTGTCATATTATGTATAAAAGCTACGTCATTACCATAAAGACTGTGTTGTACAGTACTGGGTTGGGCTTAAGGGGAGGGAGGGGGGGACGAAATGGAGGGATTTGATTTTAAAGTGCTCTCACCCACACATTAGAAACCCACACATTAACTTTGCTGGATGCTTTTTCTATCAGTATTGCAAAGCAGGCTGTTTGGGTTTGCGTTGGGTCTGAGTGTGGATCTATCTTGTTTTCTCATTAAACCCCAAAAGCTACGAAACCCTCATTAGACTATGATTTGTATTATAGAATATGTCCAACAAATAATTTTGCATTTCTATTTTGGTTGAGAGGCAGTCTTTGAAAATAATTTGACCATAAAGGGTAAAGGCAGATGTTGACCACGACTCCAAATGAAAATATAACAACCAACATTCACAGAGACATTACAAACCGAAGCACAAGTCTTTCTGCCTCCTCTCATTGATCTAGCCGCGACCTGGCCACAACATTTCCTCCTTTGCTGGCCACGGAGAATCAAGGGTGGCTTTTCGGCATTTTATGAATCACCACATAAGCAACAGACAATTCCCGCAAACTTCTCTGGGCAGCTTTGTAATTCTCAATGAGGAGGCAACGGTCCTAATGTATCGTTACGAGGCTGATGGAAATGCACTTGGTGGCTAAGAAGGGCAATTATCACCAGTTCAATTCTTAACAAAAGCAAAAGCAGGGAAGTCTGGAAAAGTGTTGTTTTTGTTGTTATTTCCTTACAGTGAGTAGGGAAAACTATTATGCAATTCAGTTTTTAGTAGTTACTGTAGTTTATATTTTATTAAAATTTTTTGATTGACTGCCAGTGCACGTAGTGAGGCAACGTTAAGCAGCGGCAAAACTAGCTCATTTAAAATAAATACAGTTATCTGAGATGTAATTAAATGAATCAGTTTAATTGTAACTTTTGATGACGACTTTCTATTGACTCTGCTGATACAAACTGACACACAATCTGTGTCACAAACATACCTGATTATATTTAAGGTGAAAGTGACCACGATGGAACGAGGTTTTAGAAAGCAGGTCCCATTTAACTGGCGTTCAGGCCACGAGTGTTTTTGAGGCAGGAGTGTGGTCATATCAGCGTGTCTAAAACATGACACGCTTGTTTATCTCCAACTCATTTCAGCCTTTCTGGTACCTACATGTTTTTCAAGACGAATGTCCTACATTGGTGTTGCCAGATTTTAATGTGAATGGAATATTTCAAACAATACTGGGGTGGACACACCTCAGTGCTGAAAAGGTTAGCAGAGAATTACCTCTGGTACATAATCTGTATAGAGGAGTCGGAGCTCTCTGCCTTCTATTTCCTCTCTCGCAGCTAATCTAATATTTAGCGAGCTGTCTGTGCAGTTCATTCAGACTAGTGGGTTTCAGGTCTCACGTTAGGCAGCTTAAAATGCGTTATCTTTATTCACCATGCATTGAATCAGATTTGTAATTCACTTTCACTTGCCCCATCACTGTTTTCTTTGTAGCAGGATACTAGAAGACCACCCACAAGATGACATTTTCCAGAAAACAGCATCTGGCTTTTTGAAGTCAGAAGAACAATGTAAAATGATCAGGACAACTTCCTGCATTTGGACTTATTTTTGCAGATAAAAGCGTAACCGAACAGCATGGTGAAATAGTAATGAAAAATACATACAACAAATCCGTTGTCGTACTGACAAACAGACAAATCACAGAAATTCTCATGTTTCCAAAAATACAAAACAATATTCAAGGCCTGAAAATTCAAATACACTCACATAATTTAAGCTAAGCATTTAAGCTCTTTACAGTGTCTCTGTAAGCGTAACAGCAAACCGAGAAACAGCATTTTACATTCTTTTTACAGTACTTTGTTGGTTTACTGTCTCATAGTTGTCTCTGTGTGAACCCGAGCTTAACTGGGAAGTCTGAGCTTGTAGGTACCAACACATTCCTAATTGTTGGGGCAGTTCTTGATCCATAGCTTTTTATCAAACCTTGTACTGTAAATCAGGCCTATCAAATAAGAGCTGACTTTGTAACAAGAAGTGAAGCAGATACTCAGCCACAATGCACTTTATCTTATTGATTACATCAATTAACCGTAGCACAGCACCCCCCTCTCTCTTCTCACATTGTTTCATAAATCTGTGCTAAATCTTTACACACAGACAGTGAGCACGGATCAAGTCTCTGCCGATGGGCCGGTTGCTGTGTTTCACTGGTGTGGTGGGAGTGGTGAAAAGCGTCTGTGTGCGTTGCTCCTCCCATGTTCCTCTCTCCCTCGCTCCCTGCTTTGTTGGGGTACAACCTCTCCTGCTCCTGAGGGTAAACCCAGCACATCCCCTTTCTCTCGCCCACTACTTTCCTTCGCTGCTACCCTGTTTCCTGCTTGGTTTCCTCATCCCTTCTTCAGAGGCATCTCAAGACACTCTCAACTGGGACCTAAAGAGCAGCTATTTAAGGTAAGAAAAACATGCATGTGCATTTATTTACCAAGTAACTGTCTTTTCGTTGTGTGAAATGATTTACTGTGTTTTATGATATGGGCGTACCCATGAGTTCAACCACATTTCCCTCCTTTACCCTCATGAGGACCTGTCTGTACAAGCAAACTACACAAATTGTAGGTGGAACGTCGGTGACGTCAGTTTTGAATCTCACAGGACTTGCAGAGTTGCTGCATCCTTTGGATGGCATATAATTTACTTTAAGCTAAACAACTACTTTTGTTGCATTGGGTAAATTGTGCATTAAGTGAATAGGCAGCTGCTGCAGTGTAATATATGATATTTATAAGTAAATATAAATATAAATATATTTTTTACGTGCTTTGGGGTTGAAGTTATTCAAACAATTAAAAGCACAGGGTAATATAAGTGTGGGTCTTTTAAAAATGTAATAATTGTACGATTGGCGTGCAAGTTCAAAATCACATTAAATATCACAACAAAAACGAGATTCCGTTTCCACTAGTCATATTATTTGATCTGCAATCTGTCATGCAAGTTGAGCTTGATCTGTGAGGTTCATGGAGGTATAAATAACAATGTTTGTTAAAAGGAAACTCACAAACTTACCTTATCTTTAGTTGTAGTGAAGTGCACATTGACATCAAACGAAAACTACAGTGTTGTTATGTGAAATATTTGGTTCATATTGAAGTGCGATTGCAGCATTACTATGGACAGTCGCTTAGAGTCACTGATATTATCAAAAAACATTGTTTAATATACCTGATACACAGTCTATTAATAGTATTGCTGGGTGCTTAAGTACACACAGCAACCATTAAAATGTATGATTTCATTACTAATGGATGTTACACCAGGTTAAATAAATCTAATTAAAAGCACAAAAAAGTGAAAAATATATGGTAGAAATACAGACGTAGGAAACTGGTATTTCTTTTGTTTCTCACACAATGCGGTAAACCTTTGACGTAACAAGTTGACAGAGACAAGAGAAATCCCCCAAATGTGTCAAAGACGTGGCAGTGAAGAGTTAAGCCACATTCAGTTTCCTACAGTATGTCAGAGGGAAGCTTGTTGAAACGACCCCAGGTTGTGATCTTAACTTGTCTGGCAGCTTTAACCTGCATGTTTTTACCTGAACGTTCTCCAGAAACGTTACCTGCTGAGCTGTTTCCTCATTGTGAAAATGGGGGAAATTTTGAAAGCTTTAATAGAAACTTAAAACCAGATAAACAGTTTTGCAGTTAAGGCAAAATAAGGTTGAAAAATGAATCTCATATCTATCCATTTCTTTCTTTTGACTCAATGAAGAGATATATTCTGTTTTAAATGGAATTTTCCTCTTAAGCTAAGATATGACATGACATTGCTACGCTTAGTTTTTGAGGTAAATATCGATCTTGATGCACAATCGTGTGCTTCGTTTGGTGCAAAGAGCTGCGTTTCATGTTACAGAGGTTGCACGTGAACCCCAATAGCAGTCACATTGTGCGTCTATAGGACTACAGGGGAAATGCATGTATGATTCTGCTAAGAAAACAAGTTGTTATGGGAAATGTTGACCTTGTGTTGTGTAGCTTTTCTCCAATAGAGCACACCGTGCTCATTTAATCTATTCCCTGCAGCTCGTCATCAGGTGTGTTTCTTCTAAATATCAGAGTTTCTTCAAAACTATTAAGCACCAAAAGTCCATTGATCTTCTTTGTAAGGTTTCTGTGCACAGCAGGTTTGTTCAATAGTTAACTGTGGTAGCAATCTCATGTCAAATGTTATGATTGAGTTCTAAATTACGTTAAAATAAACTATACAACAAATTGTGGGACCAAAACTATGCTGACAGACATCATGATCCACCATTTCCCTCCGGATTCTGTTTTCTTTGCATTTAATGTGTTTGTTAAACCCTGTGATGCAACAACAAAACTTATCCATATTAATGCCTGCCAATGAGTTTTCCATTTTAAAATGAATAATGTGTGCTGTTATTGCTCATCATCACTTTTCAGACCTCTTCACGTGCCGTCCCTTTGAGAGCTTAAATGCTTTTAGTGAAATGTTTCCTTTTTCCAAACCTTTTTCTTGCCAACAGGAAATGGCTTCTAAACGGCAGATGGGCTACAAGTGTCGCATAGCAGGAGTGCTGCTTCTCCTTTTGGCCAGTATTGCCGCCCTCGTTGCTGTTGTTGTCATCCAGGACACCTGGACGCTCACAGAGTACGACTTTGAGGTGAACACATGCATGTGCAGGCTCTTTTTAGCTTCATGCCTTTCGCACTTTGACAAAGCAGAAGAGGATTACGAACATATACTTCCACCCTCTTTAAACTCCCAGTTCGAGTGTGGTTCAAAATGCTGTCAGGGTGAAAAGGGTGTTTTATCAGTCAGCTTGGAGATGTGTATACATTTGAAATGGTCAGTTAGGGTTGCAGAGGACTCTCTTTAGTTTAATTAAATGGCTTTATGACCTGCTCTACGCCTCATCAGCGGCACAATCTAAGGATTTTATTTTACTAATGCATGTAAAAACAGCCATCAAATAGACAAATGTGACGTAATGATTTTGTTTTCTTTACTCCTCTGTGCAGTACGGCATAGTGATAGACTCCGGCTCATCGCGTTCCAATGTGTACCTGTATCAGTGGCCTGGAGAGAAGGAGAACGAAACGGGAGTCGTGAAGGAGATAATGAACTGCCGAGTGTCTGGTGAGTCATTGTATCTGCAGCCTTGGTGTGGAACAATAGTTTTAAACTCTTAAATCCTGTTGTTTGGGGTGTGTGTCCCTTGTGTAAGGCAGACGGTGCCACTTATCAAAAGCAGGTCATTCTATTTTAGTACACATGTTTAGGACACAACTTGAAATAAAAAATCAGCATTTTATAGAATTTAGTTATTCTAACGTTAGAATGCAGGGTTAGGGTTAATTAATGGAACATTAAAGCCCATCCATACTGAACAAAGGAAATATTCCATCAACCTTTGCTTAATACTGGTTTTCAGTACTCAAAGTCCATTTTTATCTTTGCCTTGTGCCCACAGGTGCTGGTATCTCAGAGATGAAGGTTGACCAAGAGAAAGATACCAAATCGTGGAATGGATTCAAGAGCTGCATGGTCAACGTCACACAAGCCATTCCTGTTAAAAAACACAAAACCACACTTCTCTTTCTGGGAGCCACTGCTGGGATGAGACTGCTACAGTAAGAAAGTGTTGAAATAAGTCACCGTTACTTAAGTGTTGGAGAGGGACCGGAACGATGAGACCAATTTAAAAACTATTAACGCACTATATTTCTTCATAGCGCTCGTTCTTTTTTTTTTTTTTCTTTCTCCACTCTAGCGTAAAACCAGCGTGGAGGACACAAGAGTTGTATCGATCTGTTTATTTCTCAGATTCTCATCAAGAGAGTGATGAAAAAGTGTTTTAAAATGAATATGGAACCATTTGTGTCATGATATGACACATGTCACTGCTAACGGCCCCCCTCGCTTTGAAGTAGGGTCCCTAAGTCTCCTCCTCTTTCCGCTTCACCTTCAGTGAGAAAGATGAACAGAAGTCCAATGAAATCCTGGCGAGTCTCAGTGAATACCTGAAAACTTTGCCTTTCAACTTCCAAAATGCTTCCATCATTACTGGTCAGGAAGAAGGGCTGTACGGCTGGATCACTGTCAACTACCTCAAGGGAAAATTCCTGCAGGTGAGATGCCGTCGTAAATCTATCTAGTGTAGGTCAACACCTATTAACCGTTTCCATCATATTTGCAGAAAAACCTTTGGAACAAATACGCACACCCGGAAGGGGAGAAGACTGTAGGGTCAATGGACCTCGGTGGAGCATCGACACAGATCGCCTTTGCAGTCCAGGACGATGAGGACTCAGAGGGACCGGACTTCTTGCGTGTCAAACTGTACGGTTACCCGTACAACGTCTACACACACAGTTTCCTCTGCTATGGCAAAAACGAGGCTGGGAAGAGGATTCTGGACAAAATAGTTAAGGTAACAATCTCGTCTGTCTCTTGAAAGCTGGTGTATTTCACATGCCATAAGGGTAGTGGTCCCCCCCCCCCTCCTGTGGGGAGCATGTTTAAGTGGTTGTGGCAGTGGGAGTGTATGTTGTTTTTGCATGCATGTGCAGGCCAACATCCATTAAGGCCCCATTAGGAATTGATTAGTGAACACTGCTGTCCCCCTAAAAGACAAAAAGGGAGACAAGTGAAGTGAAGAAGGCATTATGTCATTAAGAATATTGATTGAGCAGTATATGTTGTTGCGCTAATCAGTAGAAAAGGCCGTATTTCTGGCAGCGTAGCAGCTACTGTAGAAATATGCAGAGAATATGTTACGGAGGGTCCAGGAATTACATGTTAGCCTAAAGGTTTGCTTTACATGAGGATCTGTACTAAAATGAGTCTCTGAATGTATAATGTAAACCTAAGTCACAATAGACTATGTTTGTAAAAGTTACATTGCCTTTACCTCAACTTACCGTTTTGGTAGTTTTATTTCCCCCTCGGCCTCCAATCATCATTTTCCGACGTTGTCTCCTTTTTCCGAACATTCCAGGAATCCTCTGACCCATCCTACATCCTCAACCCGTGCTACCCTGAAGGTTACAACGTCACCAGGAAGGCCTCCACCATTTATGACACAGAGTGTACAAAGAAGCCAAACAAGTACAACCCAGATCAAGAACTCTTCATGGTGGGAACCTCCGACTCAGACAAGTGCCGCAGCATCGTGAAATCCATCTTTGATTTCAAAACTTGTTCCTCGGCCAAGTGCTCCTTTGATGGGGTCAGCCAGCCACCCGTCGCTGGAGAATTTATGGTAACGTGGACACGTGAAAATAGAACAAGGACAAAGAAACGGATAATAACTGACGATATATCTCTCCGGTTCCTCCCAGGCGTACGCAGGCTTCTTCTTTACGGCCCGGGCGCTCGGGTTTGAGGGGAGGTCGGATCTTGATCATTTCAACGCATCGGTTAGGCAACTGTGCCACACAAATTGGACGGTGGTAAGTTCTTCCGATTGGTAGACTGCGATGGTAAAAACGCGGACAGGAAGAGAAGGACAATTTTTGAAGCGAAATCAATCAATTTTGGTACAAGTGTGTACAGCAGGAATGTGAAAGGACAGGAAACCACCAAGTGGTGCAGTGAACTCCATTAAGGGTCACATTCCACAGTATTTTCACAGAGATGAAGATGTTTCAGATTTCCTTCTAAGGCGAGGGATTTTGGACGTACAATACAAAATTATCTTTAGAAGGAATGGTGTTTTATAATAATTAGGGAAAATATCTAGAGAATTCTTTCATATCTTAAACACGATGGGAAACGGCATGTAATCAGAACTTAAACAATATGTCTGCTACATCTGAGCAGATATGTCTGTTATCCATCTAGAGGGATGACATATTATCTCATTGGAAACAGTCTTAGTATTTAGTATTAGTTTGTTGCAGTTCATTATGAAATATCCCCTCATCTATAACATTCATATTTTGTTAAAGTTTGGCTTCATTCATTTGTATTTTTCTTATTTCTAATCAGACGGCGTACACATGTCTGTCTGTCTTTCTTTCAGCTGAAGGCAGAAAAGACGTGGATCTCAAATGAGTACCTGAGGACTTACTGTTATGCCGGTCACTACATATTCTCAATGCTGGCAGATGGATACAAGTTTGACAAAGACACCTGGAAAAACATTGACTTCCAAAAACAGGTGAGAGGACTTCATTCTGACCAAACAGTGGTTCTTCAAATGGCTACGGAGCCAATTCACATCCACTCTTTTTATTTTCGGTGTTCATGTAGTCTTGTGAAAGATGATCCTCACACAATGAAACCGTCAACATCTCGTCCTCCTCCGGGACGAGGGGGTTTAACTAGTGGGGGTTGAGGTCAAAGATGATTGCCGGGCATTCAAAAAGTTGAGGACGGACTAAAAATCAGGCAATGTTTTACTCGGGGAGGCCCGCGGGTCACGCTGGCTCTTTCACAATGGAGTTCCCTTGACGGAAGGGGATTCCCGTTCTGTGACACAGAGTTTATCAGCCCACGAGTCATAAAGACAGACAGTAAATCAAAAACAGACACAAGCTGTACTTTCCAAATGTAATGGCGGTTACCCTTTTTGACCTAACCACAGCTGGCGCTGCACCCAAATTCCCGTCCCTCCCGCCAAACAGTAGTGTGCTGTGTGTGCTGACTTGTGCCTTCAGGGTATTTGGGAGTCAGTTGGTTGGATGGATCTCCTTGGAGGAAATAACAAAACAGACACACATCTTTGCTCAGAGCTGCAACTGTTCAATTTCCTCACAAGGTCTTTCACATTCTCAACTTCCCTCGATGTGTATAGCAATAGCAGCGATGTAGAAGCTGCATGCACTGCTGGAAGAAATACCATGTACAGCATGGGAATACAGTGTCCTCTTCTTGTGTCTTCTCTGCAGGTGGAGAAAACCAACATAGGTTGGAGTTTAGGCTACATGCTGAGCATGTCGAACATGATCCCATCTGAAGCGGAAGTAATCCCGCCCCTGACAGACCCGGTCTTTGCCGGCCTGGTCTTTCTGTTTTCAGCCCTAACGATCATTATGGTGGTCTTCGTTTTCATAATCCTCATTCGCACTTGCTTCTGAGAGTCACGCAGAGAAGCTTTGTAGGCGGTGGGGGAGCGCAGACGCTATCGCAGAGGAGCTTCATTTTTTAAGACATTTAATGATGTCAATTTTTTATTATAGTTTGTGAAAACTGAAAACAAATATATCCTGCTAGTTTAAGTCTTTGAGCTATTTTTTATCTGGAGGGACTGGAGACATAAAAAAAACACCTCCAATAAAAAAATAACTTTTGGGCAGATAAAAGCAGATGACACACGAGAGCTTGAATGACTGACAGGTAACGAACCCATAAATGCTTATTCTTGTCACACGTTGTGTCATTTAAAAATGGAATTGCATTCACATGCTGCACGAATGGACACACGGACCTTCAACAACGGGCTATTCAGTGATTCATTTTGTATTATACGTGTCATTTGCACTCAATGGATTCTGCTTTAAAAACGGCAGGATGGCACTTTGCCTTGGCCACTTTGTTACACACTGCGTGCTGTATATCAGGGGAAAGATTTTATTTGGCACAAGTACCACTATTCTTAAGCGGTAGCATTACCAGGGGGCTCACTGTCTAGTTTGTGTGCACAGGTGTGCTCTCTCACCTGCATGAAGAATGACCTCTTCCCCCCCGTCAACATCAAGTGCACAGCGTGTTGTTTACAGTAGATGGACGTGACCCCCCCCTCTCTGATTGGCTTGCACGTATTACCTTTGTATAGAATTTGTCAGGATACTATTAATGAAAAGGATTGGAGGAAGGTCAAGAGGCTAAAGCGGATGAGGATTGGAGACCGCATGCAACATTACCCAATATATACTAACAAAGTCTTGATTATGAGAGGTTTTTTTATGTTGCTATGCACATGAAAAAAAAGGCATATTCGAGATTTACGCTTTGTTGTGTCAAAATGTAAACTAAATGTTAACCTTAATGTTGATCTGGCACACTAACAAAACATTTAAAAAATGACAGACCATATCTAAAAAGCTGATGACCCCTTCAGCATAATATACAGTGTAAAACTGTAAAAAGTACACATCACTACTACTGAACGAACACTCATTAACAATTTATTGAATGTGCTACGTGCCATTGTATCATCCTGATTTTGCTATATATTACTATACGTCTAATAATCAAGCCAAATACAATCAACAATTAATATTGTTAGTTCTTTAAGTTATGTTTCCCTTTAACCACAAATCTTGTGTTGTTCCATCGCAGGGAGTTGGATAAATCTCTCTTGCTTTCATAGGCTTATATATCGAGAGAGAGATGTATTCAATCAATATAAACTATTAATGCGTCACATGGTTCATTTGGGGTTTTAGGGTATGCCCTACCTGTACTGGTCTTATTTTGAGAACAATTCTCTCTATAGAATACTACACCCACGGTACCCTTTGTCGTTAGGTGATCCGGTTCCACCGTTCACCATCATTCATCGTTAACCTTATTGGTTTTCGCTGAGCTGAACATGTTATTCCATTTAATACTAAATACTGGTTACTACTTCTTTAAATAATATGTATCGATCAAAAGAGACCATAAAATAAATATTCTTGTTTAAATCTGAATATCTCTGATTTCTTCTGTGTCCACTGAGCATCTCCAGCATTCCCTGGTGACTTGTTACAATCAAACACACACAGGCGGATTCTTCCAGTAACATCGCCTCCGCTACTCATCCTGTGTACTGCAGCGCCCTCTAGTGGCACTGCATTGTACCTGCACAATGTACCAGAGGAGTAGTGACTGTTTAAAACATTTTATTATTGAAAGACTTGTCTAAAAAGAAAACAAAGGAAAAGAGACATTTGAAACTACAGAAATATCCACTGGTTCTACAGACACTCTCAGAATCACAATTTGAAAGATATGGGAGGCATGTGAACAAGCAAATAAAAAAATAGCATCAAAGTTAATTCTGTTGCATCTTCTTTTACACACCTGTACAAAAAAAGATCTCATAAATAGTACTTTTGTTCTCGCTTTCTCTACGTTCTTTTCTTTCAATAATTTATTTTCCTATAGAGGTTTGTATTTGCTTGATTTTGGTTGAACTGTGTCAGTCTGTTCCTACGTATCCATTAACCTCCTTTCATTGGCGGAGTGTCGAGTAGGTGGAGCGTTAGCGGTGTGACGCCCTGTAACTTACAAATAATGCAGATTCTTTTACCAGCTAGGACCGGAAAATAAATGATTATTCTCGCATCTTCTCGCAGTTGTGATGTCAAGGATGACGTTTAGGTGTCTTTACAGTATCTTGGCTTCCAATCGTCAATTGCTGTCATTTTGAACACAAGACCGCCTCAAGCCTCATTCATGAAAAGTATCTAGCAGCTCACACGTCTTAATCAACTCTCGAGAAAGACAAACAAAAAGGCAACACAAAAAGAGAAGCACACCATCTCTCCTCAACCTTTTGGAATATACAAGTTGAAATGGGTTTTCTTCAAAAGAAATGGCCTTTCCTCGGAGAGAGATCCTCGCCCGGCTCCCATTCTAAATGGCTTTTGTTTGGCGAGATAGTGGCGTGAAACATTTTGTCTTATGGACTGAGATGATGCGTTTTCAAAATAGGAACATTTTGTCGGGCCATCACAGCGAGCCACAGCATCGCAGTGTTACGCTATTTGTAATTTGTTGCTGCAGCTTGAAGAGGGAGTTGTTGGGTGTGTACATGGATTTTAAAAGTACACACCAATGTTCCAAGTTACATCCAGATGTTACAGTGCCACTTTAGATCGTCACTGTGTATGATAACTTGACAAAGAAAACACCCCCTCTTCTTTGTTCAAGACCTACTGGATGTGCTCCTTCAACAGCATGACAATCAATAAAAATCTAACAATCTAATTTCAGAGGTGAAGAAAATAACAAAAAAGCAACATGAGGAATACCTCTTCACTAACTAGTTTCTTCATCTTTGGTATAAAATATGCCACATGATGGCTGCTTTTGTTCAACGGTTAAGAAAGACTCAAGAAACTGTCAGCAGTTTTACTAAAACTATTGCTTTTTGCACATTTAAAAAACCTAGCGTTTATTTCTGCTTTGTGTCATTGTCAGAAATGTTCCTTTTTTACTTTTCATTTTGCAGTGAGACAAGCAAAGCAGGCATAGCTAAACCCTTTTTTATAGGTTATAGGAATGCAAACAGAAAATACAAATGTGATGAAGAAACAGAACTTTTATCCCATGATTAAACTTAACTGCATTTTCCAGGAAGCAATGGATTGATCCTTCCCACAAGTTGCATTAAAGACATTTTTCCCACCAACCAACATCAGCTGCACCACATAATTTAAAATCATCTTCATACAATTACAACCTTTTTTTCCCTGTACAAATAGCTTTTTAGATTTATTCTCGGAACTTCTCAAATCATTCTATCATTCTTATTTTAAAATAACTCAACACTATGGAAACTTTTATTCCCAAATTTTGAGAAAATTAAGGCAATAAAGATTTACGAAAACATTGATATTCTAGAAAACTACTCAAACAATAAAAATAATGAAAATAATGTAGCTTAATATCAAAGGAAGACAACCTTTTTTTTTTCTAGACTTTGCTTCCTTACATTTTTGATAAAAAAAGTCTGAAAATCTACCTGCACATTCAAATGTTCTTTTTTTCTGTACAGCTTGGTTGTTGTTGACTTTAGATTTCAGTCTGTCTTCTCTTTTTCCTTCGGTGGCCAAGTCCAGTCTCACAGTGAGAAATGATAGACTCAAAGATGCAGACTGCGTTTGATTCCCGCGTCCTCAAGTTCAGCAAACCATCATTTCTCTTGGCTCAACCAGATAAGAAATATATATTTTTTTTCATTTTGTCTTTTATGTTGTGCCTGTGCACAGTGGAAGCATTCACACCCAATGTTTCACATAACACTTTTTTTTTGTCCCGGTTTCATTTTGATCCTTTCTTTGTCTCCATCGCCTCCGTCCAGGCAACGCAGCAATGATTGACCCTTCACGTTATCTAGAGGACACGGAAAAACAAGAAGAGCAGAAAAGTCCACGTGTTTTGATCAAAACAACGCAATTGGCTTCATATTTCTATCTGCAAAATACATTTATTAATACATTATTAATAGGATTCATCGCAAAATCAAATAATGAATTCAAAAGTAGTGTATTGCCCAGTTTAATTAATGCAAACACTTAAAACAAATAAAGTGATATTTTAACAGCAGTATTCCCTTTGCACAGTAGCAGTTAACAGAGTTCTTGAGTATATTTAATTCAATCTGTCCCGAGTTAACTCGCAGAGTGACCAGACAGAAGAACAAGCAGAAGCACGTTGCCGTCTCCAACCCTGAGGCAAAACAAGTCAGTGATATTTACACCGAGCCTGGCAGTCAACATACAACACTCACTTAGACTGCTGGTAAGAGTAGGCTGTCGAATGATCTCCTGTATTCTCCACTGATAAAGGCTGCTGCCCGCTGGCGTCCTGGGAGGAGGCAGCTGTCTGTGATGATGGGTCTGTCACCACACCCTGACAACACAAACCATTCAGAAACGATCCCATATTGTTCCACACGGCATCCAAAAGGTTCACAAAGTACAAAACTCCACTTCGTATTGACTAGAAGGGAAAGGTTCAACTACAGTTCTAGTGCTCGTTTTAAGAAGTAAATAACAGCTCCTTTGAAGTTTCCATTTATTTTGTATGATTAGTAGCAATATCAGCCTTAATTACAAAATGCAAACTAATTTTGACTTAATCAAGTTACCTCAGCGGCAATAAGGGCTTGCTACATTTGTTTTCCTCTCATGGTAGCATGACTACCCAAACTCACAGCTCAATTTACAAGCATCTAATTCATCAGAGCCATAATACAAAATAATCTAACTCAATGTAGTAAGTAAAGTTATTCTGTAAAACCCCACACAACCTGTTGTATTAAGTTTATATAAGAAGTAACCAGAATAGCTTTGTCCATACTTCCATTGTGATGGCAGAGGCAGGCACTGCAGTGTACTGGGGAATGTAGGTTCCTTGCATAGGAGCAGCTGCTGCAGCAGGCATGTACTACAGAGAGAGGGAGGGGCACAGTCTTATAACATATGAAAAACACCGTGTCGTTTACCTTCGGGACGGAAAGCACTTTCTGACATTTATGCCGTAATACCTATCAGCGGTTTCTGCTGTGAGATTGTTTTAAATGCAGCCGATCACATAAATCTTTCTGAATTATGGTTTTGAATATAGTGTAACTGGAAAGATGAACACACACACACACACACACACACACACACACACACACACACACACACACACACAGACATATGAATGTAGAGCGAGGTGGTTTGGAGGCGGTACAGCGTGAGACTCACAGTGCCTGTGGTGCCCAGAGACATGTGGTTCATCTGCTGGGTGAGAGGAGCCATCACACTGGAGGGGTGGAGAGACAAACTGGGCTCTATAGCTGCTGCTGGGGTGATCACAGCTCCCTGAGGGAGGAACAAGGTCAACTGTTTTATTGTATCGCCAAGAAGTATTATACAAGCAACAACATAAGGGGTTTATGAAGTTTAGGGTTTAAGTTTGGTCTTGGTGAAGAAATAAATCAATAGAACACACCAAAACTTTGAATTTTAAGATTTGCCTGAAATGATAACTAACAGCCCTATGAGTCCTATGCAACAGGCTCAAACCACATCTACGTGATAGTCCAGTGTGTTTCACATCGATAGAGTACTGAAACCTACTCTAGAGGAGGCTTTTGTGCCGGCCTCACGGCAGACAAACGACAGCAATAAGAATGTGGATTTTTGTTTGTTTGTTTGTTGGCCTGATCCTATTGCATCCATCTAAATCCACGGGAAAGGATCAACAGCTTCCTCGGCCTCCCAGAAGCCGGAATGGGTAGAGCGTAAAATGACGTTTTAGAGTGCTTGTGGTGCGCATGCAATGGCGGCTGGACGTAACTCGCTCTGACGGGAAGACATCAAAACATTTATTAACGGCTTGAGAAGGTGTGTTGCTATAATATCTCAGCAGCAGGAGGAGGACTTTAGAAGAGCTCAGCAGCCACTGACACTGCAAGGTTTGTTAGCCTGTCGGTGGCAAATACTATCTACCTATATTCACCTTTCTGCTGTGTGTTGTTAAGAGAAGGGGGAATGTCTTGCATTTATTAACTTAAGTTAGTAAGTTTCTTCATAGATGTCACAGTAAACCTGGAGAGAGTTTTTTGGCCACCTGAGCTCTTGGACATTCTCTTAGGGTGGCGGAGGAAGGCAAGAAAGCAAATATGCGTATTTTCAAAATGTAGAACTACTCCTTTAAACTGGTTGAAAAGCTGTAGTCAAACCAGAACGTATACTAGACACCAGACTAGATGACATGGATTATGAGAGTAAAATGTCACACTTGATATGCATGTGTACTGCAAAGGGAACGGGGTGTTTACGTATGCTATACTAGTAAAGAAGAGCTTTTTGAGACAGCTAGCCTCAAAAGTAAATCGTTCATAATAGAAAGACTTCCAACCAAGTTAGATGACTAAAAACGGTTTGACAGCAGTGCAGCCAGTCAGCCGGCTCGCGGGGCAGGAGGCCTGACGGGGCGAGCGTCTGAATGGAGCAGAAAGGCTCTTACTGTAAATCTCTCCAACGTGGAGGGCTTTGATGCCTGCTAACACCTTGATGCGCTGAGCTCTTCTCTTCCAGTTCAGCTCAGCTATAGCTTCAGCAGCTCTGTATTTATTAGGAGACTCCTCACACAGTGTGCCGAGAGGCCTGGCAACATCCCTGCAGAGGCCTGTTCATTCCTGATAGCTGTTTAACTGCACTTCCCGTGAGCCCAGACAGCATCCGTGGACGTGTGTCAGCATCGCTACAGAGAGCGGTCGGCACTTCTGTAGCTGCATGTTGAGACGGGATGTTAGAAGAACACAGGTATTAAATGGAGGTATTTTGGGCACCGACCCAGTTATGTGGCGGTCGCTCTTAAAGCTCTGTGTCTGTGGAGTCTCCCGAGGAGGCTTGAACAACACAAGCACACTGACAAAGTAAAAACACAAACAGTAATGGAAGTTCTAGCATTGTGAAGCGCTGTCAGAGTTGCTCATAGTTGCAAACCTCTGTGAGGGAAGTTCCTTGTGTCTGAAGGCTTCAGAGGGAGGACACACACACACACACGGTACAGACAGTACAGGCAACAATCGTCGGATCAGTTAACAGTGTTGAGTGCTCTTCCTCATGACTGCTGTGTTCAAAGGGAAATCTGTTTGAAGAACACAGCTGCCCAGCCATCAGGATCACTCCGTCAACACCGTCCTCACACACACACACACACACACACACACACACACACACACACACACACACACACACACACACACACACACACACACAGAGGCTTCTGTACACAGATGCATCCAACAATCTGCCCACGAAGCCACACAAAGCGTCGGCTCCAGCCGGTAGATAGCAGGCAGAATCCAGCTATTAACCAGGATTTTCATCCATCTACATAATACATTGCCTCGTTTAATCATTTCTCATCCTCGCTCGCTCGCTCTCTCTCGTTCACGCAGTCTCGAAACAAGCTTCCACGCAGAAAGAAAGCTGCATTAAGCAAAAAGGAAACCTGCAAAGACTAATTGTCTGCTCTGGTTTACAGCTGTAGAAGGGTTGAACTTGCTGTCCCTGCACGCAGGGAAAGTAGTTGGTGCAAGACGAGTGTGTAATTAGATGCTGTGTATGTGTTAATGTTTTCAAGGATCGGACATTGTTTATTCTGGGGTTGGCAATAGACGAGAACACAAGGTTGACGGTTATATTTTTCCGAGAGGACGGCAGAGAGAAAAGTACAGAATCTGCCTAAACTTTGAACTCGCTCCTTCTCTTGCTCACTTAATCCCTCCTCTTTTCTTCTCCTCCCCTTCTTTTTCATGCATTTCATTTTCCATTTTTTCTGTAAACAGATAAAATTGACTCGCGGAATGCCGCGAGTCACGAAGATGGCGCGACTGAGTGATTAGCAGAGGCGTTATTGCGTGCAACAGCTTCCCTGTGTCGCACATTAATCAAAGTTAGCAGTCACTAACTGAGGCCCAGCAGTGAGGGAGCCTCTGCTACGATGGGAATAGAATTTAGCCGCTGTGTTTCTCTCAGCCCGTCTCCCTGAGTCCGTCTCCCTGACACAGCTTTAATTCCTCTGGTTCCAAGAAACACAATGACTCGCCGTCGCCTTTGTTGTCTTAACGGGGATTTTGACGACGCCGAGACAATACTGGGGAGCAGGCGCGCACAGCCCAGACATGCCTCTGCAGCAGTTGTTTTCTTTTCTTTGTTCTCAACGTATTCTGTCCTCTCCTTTCCCTGTGCCTGCTTCTACCTTCCTGTCCCCACTCTGTCAAATGTTCTCTACAGCTACTTTTTTCTTCTTCCTGTCCCTCATTCCGTCTTTTGCTCCTTGTGTCGCTCCGTCTTCCCCCGAGTCTTTTGCGGCCTTATCAAGCGGCTCGACCAAACAATTAGAAGGGACACTTGATTGAAAACACATTTAGAGAAGGGGATTATTTTCTCTCACGGACATAATTTTAATTAGACATGACAACAGAATATTTAGAGTTAGAGCACGGACACAAAGAGGAAGGAAACGAGAACTGTAGAGAGGAGGACAACAGAATTTTGAACTAATTTAACAATATATGACGATGGTTGCTGGAATCCCTCAGTTCCTGCCTGAGATAACATATCTGTGCTGCTTCTAACTATCGTCACAGTTTCAATGGAGCATTACTGAATTTTGCAGGAATATAGTCGGCAGATGTTTCCAAAACCCTGCTGGTAAGATAGAAATCTGGACGACAGATCATTCTTTTTAGACACATATCTATTGGAAAGGAGCGAGCCAGAAAAGTACGGAGGAGCCAGCGTCGTCATGGGGTGTCCTGGGTGTCCACATGACGTGGCGTGTCTGAAATCTGATTAACACACTAATAACACGGATGTCCTCATTGTACTTCATCACTTCTCCGATGATGGAAATATTTTTCACACGGAGAATCTAATCTAATCTATTCACGCCACTTTTCAGGGCAGGCGTGTAGTTAAATCACATGAGTTTACAGGCTAGTAAAAAAAACAGTTTATTGAACTGCACTGTAGACGAGCAGAGCCAGTGAAACTGTAAACTGCTGATGAATAAATCTTTAAGAGGTGATTACGGTTTACCGTTTATCTGAAGCCTTTCAGGGTAATGGTGTGGTTCCAATATGAATCTGTGATTTCCTTATTCATTAAACCTGCTGCGCTTTGAAAAAACCAACAAGGTATTACGCATGCGAGGCAACGATGTGCCTCTCTTCTTCTGACAATTAAGTGGAATATGTGTGTGCATCACTGTTTACGTTAATATCCACTTTAATATCAGTATAACATTTCGATCAACCACACCTTTGGAAGTCAGCTTTGTATCTGCAGTCTCATTTCAAACCAGCAGGGAGCAACCTTCTATTGTGGATTACAAACTCCGCTGAGCTCTGCTGTTAAAGGAGGCCGTGCACCGGCTGATTCAGCGGGGTAAGACTCGCATGCAGGGCTTACTCTTTTTTTCAGCACTGATATGGGTTTGGCTGTCACGTGCCGCACTTGTGGGGAAGCTGTTTTGTTTCTGTTTTGTTATTTGGATCATTTTCCGTTACTTGCTTCATCTTTTGCATTGACATACGGGAAACAAATGAAAAATAACAAAAACTGCGTACAGTCACAATTGGAACGATCCAATAAATGTCTATGCTTTACATGACATAAGAACAAAAAATAGAGCGGTCTTAAAAACTTACTGTAGGTTGCATTACATACTGTTGATGTGGCATCCACGATGTACTCTGGACCTGAGGTGATGAGAGGACGCAGGGAGAAGCAACGGCAGGAAATGACAACATGCACCAAAGGTACCGGTGATGACAATTAAATCAGAAACAGAAAAAGATTGAGTGTTGAAATATAAATAAATAAGAGAAAATGAAGAGGATGGGGACGAGTAGGCGGATACAGAAGGGAGGAAATTATAAATATAGTTGTAAGTGGTTAAAGAATTGAAAAAGAGAAAACATAAAGAAGGTGAATTGGAAGGCAGCATGGCAAAGTCATAATGAGAAAAACACAGAGGAGAGGAGACAAAAATGAATCATTAGCTCTGGTCTTTACAAGCATATTTCAGAGCCTCAGTACCTGCAGCAGCGTGTCCTAACGGATATTACATCCCTAACTGAGGGTCCACTATACAGCATGTTATTCTGAAATTATAAGAGGATATAAAGGCCACAGCGAGCAATAAAGTCTAATAATTACTGCTTCGCAGCGGAGGTTTCATCATCAAAGTCCGCTTTGATCATTGAATGCTCAGTTAAATCTGTGGCCTGGACAGAGAGGTTTAGCAACGGCAAAATGTATGGCTGAAAATTGAACTTGTGTTTTGTAGAAGTGACTAGAAGAAGACGTAACAGTTTAACCAAGTACCCGGAATTTAAAAAAAAAAAAGCAACACAATGAAACCATCACTTATTATTCTAAATACGCAACCCCATATTCACTTATTTAGCTTATCTGAAGTCCTTCCGGCCAGCAAAACTTGTGAGAGGGGTCCACACACCTGATATGTGGAGACGGGCGAAGCAGCGATGAAGGGTGTGATCGAAGTCTGTGCAATCATCCGATTGGTGGAGATGCTGTAAGGTGACGAGTAAAACCTGCGCAGCGAAAAAGAAACGTGTTACATTATGAAAAATTGCTCAACTGCCCAGCAGGGTAAAGCAGAACCAAGAGCATGTTGACAGGACGGAAATGTGGCGTCAATCAAGAGGCTCCTCCGCCCATACAGCTCTTTTTAGCTCTTCACATGTAGCCACATGCAAAGGTGAAAATGAGCCTTTGGTGCGTCTTTGTTTTCAACCACAAAGTGCACTTCAAGACATCACTGACAAAATGTATCAGACATCATCAAGGCTGTCATGGAAACAATAACATTTTGCAGCCTCTTTCTGTGCCTCACCATCAAAGTCGTCTTTGAATTAGACTTGACACTCACCGGAGCAAACACCATGTTACTAAGGAGTCTGCTATGCATGATAATGAATTATCGCCTTAATGTGTGAGTGGGTGAAATATTTCTGTCTTGCCCCCTATGTTCCAACCTACGAACACTGCACTAAGCGCAGGGAGCTGCATCTGTAGCATCTGCATTTTCTACTCCGTTTACGTCACTCCCATTGTTTGCCCTTCTGATTTGGCCCTCTCTCTTTTTGTCCCCTTCACCTCCTTAGTGATGCAGCGGTGGAGCGCGGTGGCTCGCAGTGCTTTATTTATCATTGTGTACCTAGAGAGGACATGTTTCATCCAGCAGGCCATGTTGCTTTGCACAATCGATCCCAAAGTGTCAGTTGAATAATGGAGGAAGGGAGGAGAGAAAACAAAAAGGCCTCTTCTATCCATCTCTCACATACGCAACCAACGCTTAAAAAGGTGATTTACCACAATCAACTTTTTATGCGTTTTTTCTTATTTAAACGTAACATTTTGGAAGAATAAAGACACTGCTGGTTTACTTTCAAAGGTATATCAAACTAATTCTGCTAAATATGATATTATTTAACATGTTCATTTCATTCATAAAGCTCTGTATCACGCATAACAATATACAATATCCACTCTATCATCAGTTTATTATCAGTGTTATTTACCTGCTATTCTACACTTTGACACCAGAATATATTTCATTTCCAAGGTGAAATAGGTTGGTCAACCGCTTTATTATTGCACTTTCTGTTTCACATAACATTTGTTTAGTCAGTGAATAGCACATGCAGTTCTGAACTGCAAACCCTCAGGTTTTTTTCAACTACCTCTGTCCTGGCCTTGTGCATGCAGCCTCCCTGTTGGATTATTATGTTCTACTTGGTGCTTTGAAGCCTACAAAATAGAAGCGTAGAGTATAGCTTCAATGGTTATACCACACACACACACACATCATTGACCTTAGCTCTAGAAAGACACATCTCATTAAATACGGCATTATATATTTTTATCTTGATGATGCTCAGCTCCATGATAATAATAATAATAATAATAATCACAATGCATTTCATTTTTTTTTCTCTTTCATCGTCTCAAATCACACAAGGTGGCAACAAAACAGACAGAGCAAACAGTACCTCAGCAATTTGAAGTGAATATAAAGTAAGATGCAGTTCAGTGAGTCAATGCATTTCAAAACATGCATTTTAAGAGCGGTTTGAAGGAGACCGGTATGCATATTTGAGAGTGTGGGTGCAGCATTGTGTTATATTTCTTTCCCCGTACAAAAGAACAGTACGTCTCCAGATTTACTGTACAGTGGACGGAGAAAGGACTGAAACATGAAACAAAACAACACTTGATGATTTTGTAGTGTGGATCCTTCTTCCTGACTGTACAATTAGTGCGTGGCTTGCATTAGAGATACTGTATTACTGTCACTGATGATTACAAATGAAACAACGCAGCCATGTTATTCAATACACTTCTCTTATTGTGTTCATCGTATTTTTCATTAGGGCGACGTGCATTGGGAGAGAAATAGTAGGTAGAGGACAGATACAAGGTTATTGATGGAGGCTATTAGTCCTGAGCAGTACGTTGTCAATAGCGACTCCAGCACGGCTGTTTAAACAATACAATAAAACATGTAATTGCGAACGGCGAATTACCGCGAGATTGAATTTCAAACCTGGCAATGTATCGTGTCCTCTCTGCACTGCCAAGTGTGAGTTTGGCCGGAAAAAAATTAGGGAATGATTTAGTGCCGACCTCAGTTACTTTACAGCAGAGAAATGCGGAGGAGCGTGCTAAAACATATACGTGTACGGGTGTGTGGGCAGAAAAAACAAGATGGAGAAGAAAGATTGTAAGGCAGAGTTAGAGAGGTGAGAACAGAGGAACGGAAAAGGAGAGGATGAAGAAACAGGACAGCGAACTGAACATGCAGATAGGAGGCAAGAGATTAAGAACAGAAAAGAGCCAGAGAAAGGCTCCGTGATAAAAGAGAGGGTGGGCTATAAGCCAAAGCAATCCGGTTGGTTGGGACACATGTTTCCAATAACAGCAGATTGGCATCAGACCCTAGAAACCAGCCGTCCTCAAGCTCGGAAAGACTGCAAACCTGTAATTATTTTCTAGTTCCTACCCTTTCCTTGGGCTGACTTTATTTTAGCCTTTGCCCTGGTGTTGACCCCGCCCGGCCCCTCCTTTCTATTCGACCTTCTTCTCTCCCAGCTTTTGTGCCTCTCTAATTAGCTGCATTAGCATTTCACAGTCATTTAGCGATTCGCCGGAAGGATCGCCGATGACCTCGAAAGACAGGTCAAGGGGGGGTTTAAGCACTGCAAGGTGCCCAGATGCTCACGTGTGAGCATGCGTTTTCACAGGCACGAGCATGTACCAACAAACAAAGGCACCAGAGATGAGTTATAGTAAATCAGCAGTATGACAATGGAGAATCAACAGCAGCATTCCTAGCAGAGAGGAGCGATCTCCTATTTCCCCTGAAACAGGCATCCAGCCTGGGAGAACTGCAGATCGCCTCGGCTGACGAAAGTCTTACAACGGCACTGCAACAACTTCCCTGTCTGCAATCAAAACCTACAAGTATGACAGCTTGTATGCATAGGTGCATAATTAAGTACCCCATCTGCACCAGTCAGATGTGAGAAGGAGGGCAAATGGTAAGACAAAGTGTGTGTTTTTAATGTGCGGCGTGGGCTGTATCCAAATATGTATGCATGTTCTCCAGTACTCTTATGACGTCAGTTCTTACCGTTGGCTGATGTGTGTTTTATTATTTGCATCTATGCTTTTGTGGAAAAGTCTAAGGGGTATAAACAGGGGCTTTACAAATATTTGGCACGGAACGTGCATGTAAAGTACATTTCGCAGAAAATTATTGTAATTCAGAGACGAGAATTATCCACTCACCCATTCTGCATCGCGGAGGGATCATACGTCAATGCCATACCACTCTGGAGAAAGAGATAAAGGGAGAAAATACACGACAAAAGGTTAAATGTATATTTTGGATGATTTCTTTCTCATTACAATACTGCGCTATAAATAGTTATTTGATTGTGATTGACAGCAATATTTTCTTTGACAATGGGTCCAGCCAAGGAAGGTAAGGAATTACCAAGGAGAATATTTTCACAATTTAAACGGTTAACTGAAAAGCTTTGACCTATATTCACCAATTTGAATAAAAGACCTGCTGAGTAAGAAACAATGGACAAGAAAAACTCTCAAATAAGCTAGTTAAACAAACATGTATAATGAAATTAAATTTGCATGAATAGGTGAGAGTTTGTGGATCACTCAAAACTGCATTTATCATGTTAAAAAGGCTCCATCCAGCTATAGTAAAATAACCAGAAAAGGGACACTGGGGGAGGAGTGTGGCTGCATAATAGGGCTGTAACATAAGTTCCTGGTTTAACAGGCTTGTAGTAAGCTTGACTGGAAATAACATATGACAGTAGCCTTAATATTTTCAAAAATATTTCTGGAACAAAGTAAAAAAAGAGAACGCATCAGAAAACCTTATATTTCCTGAAAATATATATCAACACAAAGTCAACATAAAAAGTTTTACTGTTAACTATGAACCGACCAGTCGCAGACAACATTTTGAGTGCCATTGGAATTGCTCCTTTCAGAGATCTTGCTCCAGTTCTCATCTCCATGCCTGTTTTAAAATATTGATTGACGATACATTTTCTCACCACTCCTGCAGAAAGTGCTGGCCATGGAGCAACAAGTAGGAACCATTCTGTTATTTTCCTACAGCAGTATACACTATTGCCCGTGCTCACATATTTCCACAGTAAATATGTGTTATACCTTCCTCATCTCCATTAAATATTTCAAGTATTTATCAAAGTGAGTTATGTTTGCTCAATGAATGTTTTCCATCTGTGTCTCATTTCCCAATAATGGGCAATTTAATGAGACTTTATTTCTCCATGATGAACTTTGAAACACGTCTCATTAACTTATGAAAAGGCTGATCACACTGTAAGCATCAGTAGTGGTCTCAGTCCTCTCATCTTTCACTGTATCAGCGCCCCACTCACCCTCTTCTTCTGGCCTGACTTGTTCTACACTCCACAAAAGTCTCTTTTCTCAAAGTTGCCACATGGGATCAAAGTTTGCCCTGATGCTGAACTCTACTGCCATGCTTTTCTTTCCTTTAATAAAATGCCGCCAATGGGTTCTAGCCAGGATTGGGGAATTAAAACTGCCCGAGCTAAATAACAGCGCCAAAGATTGATGACTTAAAATTGCGAATATGCATTATTCCAAAGCCAAGGATTTATTTTCATACACAAACATCGGATTCGATCTACATCACATGTACAAAGGAATCCAGGTGATCACCGTCAGCTGAATTTATATTCGCTGCCCTCTAAGTTTCCTTCATCCAACAGCAGAGACTGAAAATGTATTTCTCAGGGCTGTATTGTGTCAGCATTAGTGCATGAACGTGTATGTTTAGAGATGTACCACTTATCTAACTGTGTGAGCAGTCACCATGTGTCCTTCGTTGATGGATTATTGAGTGGACCAACCAGGAGCCCAAACAAATAAATTATCACAAAGACGACTACAGAGGGAACTAAAATGGCCACAAGAAGACACAAAATGGTTGAAAAAGACAACAAACAACCATGAGTGTCTTATTTTTATTTTGAAAGGAGTTCGGGGGGCTTTGACGCGTCCGTGCCCTTGGGCTGATTGCCACATTGTTAGCCCATGTGTATTGTATGTGTGTTTCTCTGCTAAACAGTGTGTGTGTGTGTGTGTGTGTGTGTGTGTGTGTGTGTGTATCACATGTTCATGTCACAGTCCCAATAAGGTCAGACTCATATAGGAGTGAGAGGTTCTGGGAGTTTAGGGTCAGCTGACTGACTGTGAGGACGCAGTGAAGCCCCTCAAAGTACCTCCACGTCCAGATGCTTGTATTAGTGGGGCAAGTCCATGAAACCCACAAAGAGAAGCTTTTCCTCAGCAAGGCCAAGGGGGGCTTGTCAGGACTTGGGAAGTGACAAATGAATCTCAATCAAAAGAACTGAGCGTTTATTTTTAACTAGTTGATGATTCACAAATGTTGAAAACAGCCAACAGGACCACAAAAAAAAGAAAAAGCCACTGGAGCCTTTAATGTTAACTAAACCCTGATGTTATACAGCATTCTTTGATTTTATAAAAACAACAACTGCAATCTGTGCTTGCTACACACATGAAGGCCATGCACGTACTGTGGCATCCTGTTTTTGTTTCTCTTAGCGCACACATGTTTCAGCCTGCTTCCATTTTGATTCATTTCACCAGCCTGCTCTTTCCCAACTTCCATTGGAATGCAAATTTCGGGAAACTGTTCAAAACTGCACTTGTGTAGGTGGCGACCTTATGACTCACTTTCCCTTGTTCTGCAAATTGAAGCTTTGGTATTGACACTAACAACTTAACTGAACTCCGTACATTGTGCAATAATCAATCTGCTTTCAATCCACTTTATTTTGTGTGAAGATGACAGACTGGAGGTGGGAGTTTCAACAAAAGAAAAAACACTTGCCATTTGGATTTTGCAGAATCGTTGTAATTTGAATTGAGGAACCGTAACACATGCCAGCTTTCATACTGTCAGCAGCATCTCTATTTAGGCCTACGGTTTGTTATTGGAAATGAAAGCTGATAATGACCCCGCAGGGGGCCCGTCAAGTTATTTAAATGTAGTTCCAAAATATGAATAAAGAAACTGATGTCAAAGGGAACACCAGCCAGAAATTCACAGCTTTTGGAGAAGAGCTTTAAGACCCTCTGTAATGTTGCTTGAGAAGCAGCAGTTGACACAGAGCTGCAAAGTACAACTATAATCCTTTGCAGAGTGTGATTTCTGTGTCATTTCTTTAAATATTATGATCAGTTTACTTTGTACGAACCTTGTACTTGCACTTGTGACTATGTTAAAACACTTAAATGAACTACTGTACTTATTCTGACTGTGAGGAATGAGAGGCTAATGCAGAAATAGAAAATATCAGATATTTCAACCCGGGAAAAACTCAACGTGCCACGGGGTGAAAAGGATTACGTTCTAACAAACCGATTGAGACGTGTTTTTTGTGTTACAGTTTCACCTTTCCACTCACGCTTTCAGAAAATGCAGCGGTAGCTGTTGAAGTAGACGTTTTACAATGGGTACTGCTGATTTTCGTTTGATGGTTGAATACACTCACCTCTCCTTCCCGTGGCCACGGCCGCCCGTTCTGGGGGAACTTCACCTGGGTTTGCCTCTTCTTCTGGCCCCCATCAGCAAACTTGCACAGCAGAGGCTCTGCAGGGGCTACAGAGTGAGTCAGACAGAGAGGGAGGCAAGGACAAACCCACAGGGGTGGATTCATCATATTAATAGCAGGAAAGGGTGAACTTTCTTATGTGCAGAGTTCCATTTCAAAGGTTAGATTTAAATACAGTGCGTTATGCTGCGGCTTCAACAAAAAAAACATAACATAAATCAGTTGGACCTTAAAACAGTCCCTTTGCTCTTACATTTATCTCTTCCACCCCCCAATCCATTACATCCAAACAACAGCAGTTATCACACCATCTCTACAACCCCTATAACCACACTTTGGCGTAGAAACAAAGCCACAGGCTAATCATCAACGCATGGTGAGAGTTGTTCAAACTAAAAACAAAAAGCATTCTTATAACGCTAAATAACACCACGCAGCTTGACCTCGGGCCACAGACCGTAGTTGTGATTGCTCCAAAGACAACATGTCCCTTTTCTGCACCAGAGAAAGAAGAAAGCCTTGATTACAAATAGGATTAGCTAAAAGTTCACCTTCAACCACAGCACCTCCATCAAAACCCTACAGGCTTCTGAAAAAGCGCCAGTGCCAGATTTGTTGCAGGATTAGAAAAAGACATAAAAGGGCTTTGTTCTGTATCAATCTATTATTAAAAGCATAGAATTTATCAGAAAGCAAGAAAGTGTGAATAATTGCCTCCATTTCATGGAAATGCTTCTGCAGCAGCATGACTTAACAAACACAATCAAGGTACAATCCAAACATAGAGAAGACACTACGGTGGTCAGATATTCATATTGAATGGATCAAATTGGTTATAGACTTTTACTTTCACTCCTAGGAAAGAACTACAAATCAATTGGATAATAATATAACTGGCAATTGGTGACGCTTAGCAACCATCAGCAGATTATCATAGCAGTACAAATAAAAGGAAATTCCACTGCCAGATGTTGAAATAATAAAGACCCTACACTGTGGTGTTGCTGTTAAACCCACAGGTGTTCTCTTCAAGGCCTGATTCAGTTGTAGAAAGACAAGCCGTGACCCTGTAATTGAATCAAACACCTACTTCTTTGCACTGCCTCACAATTGGCTCCTTAAATATGTCCACCAAGGCATGTTTGAGTAACTGACTGTATCTGAAAAGAGGATATTAGCTGCCACTCGTGCCTCTTTTAACTGGCTATGATTTCCAACTGCAGAGAAAGTCAAATCCTCATTACTGTAGAGAAATAAATCACTTCTTAGTAGATGTGAAGTTCTATGAACTGGAAAAGACGATATCATCATTCTCGTACTGATTCACACATTATGAAAGCAACTACGCAATTACATCACCTACTTCAAGAAAAATGGTTCTTCGTGTCTGTAAACAGAGAAATGAGAAGAGGCTTTCTCAGCGGAGGAAAACATTCAACGCTCAAGGTTGAGGCTCAAGTTATTTGGAAAGCCTGGGGCCTGAATGGGTTCTCCAAAGGTAAGTAGACTGAGCAACAGAGCTGTGTGATTATACAGCATTTAGGGATACTTTGTCATTATGCTGTTGTAACTTGATTTTTGCTGGGCCTCTGTTCTAGTCCCTTGCCTTTCTTACTCATCTTTCTCTTCACTCCCTCTCTCGCTCGCTTTCTCTTTGAGCCGCCCTTAATGCATTCATATACGTTCGGTAAACAGTCTGTGTGTGGGTGTGTGATGAGAATTACATGTGATGGGATATTTTTTAATCGCGACAAAAGGAGGAGATGCGTCGTGGTGAAAGAGACATGGGTGTCTTTAGCAGAGGGGAGTTATTGAAGTGGCTAAAGCTAGCAAAGGAATATGGCAATACTGCTTAGTGTCATAAACTCACTTCCTAAAGTATGTTTAATTCATTGCTGCTTGTGTTTCTATGGCATCAAAGGAGCCGTGAAGAATGGCTAGATTAGTCCTTCAGCACTTCATCCACGACGTTGCTCCTAATCATCGTCTACAGCGCAGTTCCACACGTTGTACATGAGAGAAAGTTTGTGAATTTTGGGATAAAGTTGTTGTTGTTTACTATTCATTTTGTATTAACTCAGACCAAAGGAATAACATCTATCGATTTAGAAAAATGGGCATAGTTCCTCGTTCCACCATAGAACTTGTCAAAACAATGATTTTCACTCAAAAAAGTAATTTTGTTATTCTTTGTTGTGCAGCACTGATGTTGTCCTAGCTGTAAGAAAAGAATACAAAGGAGAAATGCAGATGTGGAAGAGAGGACTGGGGGACTGTTTCCAACGCAGCAGCAATCTGAGCGTGCTGAAACGCACGCTTTCTTTTTACGATCACTCCACCGCAGTAGTTTCTCGGTCACCTGGATGTATTATCAGGTGAATCAGAAGAAGCAGAACTCGGACTCAGGTGATAGTTCTGAGTTGGTCAATGCTAATTCTTGAGACTTTGGAAAAAACCCTAGTGACACAAGTGATACAACACAAATGTAAAAAGCTTCCATTAGTTGGGAATGGGTTCAATCCATATTTGTTAATAATAGGCTTAATGAAAACAGGACTATTGGTCATTCATATTCGTTTTGAATTCAAATTTAAAAGAATTGTATTTATTTTTAGAACAGGATTGGGTTTAGCGGTCAGGTTTATAGGAAGAGGATAGAATGTATTTATGACCTTAATTGTTAATTGTGGGCTGTTTATTTGTGGGATAAATGATTGCATGAGTATGAAAATGAGTCACAAGGACACACACACTGCATTTTTTTCTGTTACTGTTTTGTTTTACTGGCGTGACAGACAAAGCCACATTGTTGACGTTTGACAGCTCGTCAAGTTTATAGTCAGGACACTTTCTTATTCCTCTGGTCTAAAGGGCCACATAGAAAAAAAGCTCCTGGTGATCTAAAGCAAGTATTTATCCTTGGCATTCACAAGAAAAGTCTCCTTTGAATTGAATATGTTATTTACATGCACCAAGCATATCACAGAGACGGCAGAAGTTGTGTGTTTGTGGAAAAACTGGCAGCGTTTAATGTTAGAATTAGTGATGTAAAAGTACTATGGACTATGTACTAAGTAGTTGATCCCAAGAAAGCAAAATCATTTTGAAATCTCAGTTCACATATTTGGCAGTTTCTGCTAAATCTAATTCACTTATTTAATTTCCCTCACATTGACATCCAGTGAGAAAATCATGCAACACTATAACAGGGAAATTGAGCTGAGCAGGATATTTGGACAGGCCCCTAAATGGAGAAAGTGCTTTTTTTTTTTCAATAGACATTGAGTTTAATGCTATTAAAGCTGACAAATCTGTTATTATACTGACCTGGCATCTCACATCTCACTTAGTGTCAAAATAAAATACAGATATGGTTGTATCAGTGTTTAAACTGTAACTTGAGACAGCAAAATAAATTAAATGAAAGAATAACGTGTGGGATGAATATAAAAACGTTGTGTAAAAATGTGTGTATGTCAGTTTATGACTGTGCATGTGCTCCTATTTAAGAGAAAGTGGAGTCAATATAACTAAATAAACTGCTCTAAAAGTAGTTTTTGGTATTCCTCTAGTTGATCTGCACCTTTTATATGACATATTTTGTTAGTGATACAACCGCTGCACATCTGCACGAATGAGTTACAGCATTTGACTCTTGGTACTGTTGGACTTGGTATTTGCCTTATAAAAACAATGTGCTATAAATCACATGAGGTAAAGACATCTATAATCTTTTTATTCATGTGATACTTTGTATTTCTCCGAGGAAGAAAATATTGAACTTATTCACAGGCACAGTGATATGCTCCATAAATACAGATGATAATAATGACAATAACGAATGTTACTTATTCCTAGAAGTGAAACTTATTCTACACAATCATGCGGCAACAACAGCAGCAAAGCCTCAAGAGACAAGATTACCTGTCTGCGGAAACCCGGCGCATCAAATTAATTATTCAGCTTGCTTTCACAGTTACATTACTACAATCTGTTGCATTTCACAAGAGGGCTTTAAAGGGAAGAAGGACATTTTTAATTGTCTGTTTGACCCCTGCTTCTCACACTTTTGCGGCTCTGTAACATAAAATGATGAATTCGGGAATAGCTGTGTCTGCCCCCTAAAATGCATCACTTTTGGGCATGTCAAGTTAATTAACGAAGTCTGAACCAAATATATGGGTATCTAAAGAGTTCAGGTACGTCAATTCCTAGCAAACAGGAAATGGATATGAAGAAATTCAATTCAGACCAAATCAAATGAGCAAAAATGATTGCTCCAGTTATGCATGAATTGATAATTGTTGCCCCTAGCACAACAGTATCCATTTTTTCCACAGTATTTTCCCAGTTTTTTTTCTTCAGTGTCCCAGCAGGTAAGGACATTGTGTGAAAAATTCAAATACATCGCTTAGTTTGACGAGCAAATCACTGCACCGTGCAGAGAACTGATCAGGTTCCGTAGAAAGTAAATTGGACAGTCTGTGCATCCCGTCAAGATAAAAGATGTACAATGTGTTCAATACTATTGTCAATAGCAAGAAGGCATATTGAAGACAAATGTCTTCATTTGTATTCTATGAACTCTATGGAGTAGTTACACTCCTAAATGGGCAGAAATAAAGATATTATTGACTCAGTGAGTAACAGGGAATTTTGTAACATGCAGATCAACTTGTGATTTAACTTAATATGCATACATGATCTGTTGTTTCACATATTCTAGTATGGAAGCATAAAAGACCTCAATATATTGATCTGCAAACATGATAAAAAATGTCATAGATTCAAAACTATCTGAAGCTCTTGAAAATATTTTGCTTTTGCATTGCTCTAAAAGGGCTTCTGAGGTTCAATTCGAAGACGAATGTGTTGAGTAAAATACGGACACCAACGTATTGAGCTACTGTGTGGCAGGTCTGCAGCAGGTGTGTCACTGAGTGTGTGTTTCCCTGTTACGACCAAACCTTAAGTTGTTACTTAAGTTGTTTTCTGTAAGTAACAGAAGTGATCAGACAAAATACTACATCGGTTTCTTGGTAAAAAAAAAAAACTGTTAACAAGATGTATTGCTTTTCATTAACCAAGGCCTGTAGTTGTTAATTAACTGGTTTAATGTATCCATCAGTGTTTCAGTTAGTGAATAGTTGCCCTCCAGTTCTACTCTTTCTTTTGAATGAATTACGTTGGAGAGAGACTTTGTGTCGCAGCGGAGACAGGCAATTTAAATATGAAATAAAAGACGCGAAGACGGCAATAGATGTCAAGAAAATGACAGAGAGTTGGTTGTTTGTCTGAATGTGTGCGTGTGAGTGCTGCAGGGTAAAACTACTGCATTACTGATTTGAAATGGCTTTTTGATCCGCGGCGTTTTATGTTGAACTGTCAGGATGTGTACAGGTAGTAGGGCGGCTGGCTTGAACTGTGAAGAGTGGATCCCATCCTGTTACCAGCAAATGGAGCGGTGGGCGAGTGTAAACCCGAGTAGGGCGACATGGAGACTGTTAAAAAAAAAAACAGCAGAGCAAACAAACACATCCATCGGAGTTCTGGTGAGAAGGACACAGGAAAATAAATAGGTTGGAAAGAAAAATATGTGGGAGGATAAAACACACAGGTGGACCTGGTGAAGTGATAAAAGCTCAGTGAGATACTTTTGATCTCAGATGTGGCGTTACAAAGCAAAGCACTGATCTGATGGTAAGAAAAAAGCTTACGACGACATGATTGTTTCAGTTTTCCCTGTTGGAAGAGGGGGGGGTAGCATAAACTGTAAGTGGGACCCAATCCCTCAAATGGGAAAAGTTTCATTTAAAAGTCAATCCAATCCATTATCAAGCAACATGGGAAATCATTCAGTTGGAAAATGGGATCCAATCCCCAAATGTAACAAAAAGAGGAATCCCACAGCTGGGCTGAACTGAATGTCGGCTCTTCTTCTTCTTTTTCTTCTTTGAGACACTCGGCATCAAAGAGCTCAACGCCGTGAGACAAACCACCATGCACTCGAGGGGGTTGCTTGTTTGAGCATCGCACATTAGAGGACAGCAGCTATTTTCAACAAAAACTAGAAATTATTTATGGCTATCAGCATCGTTTGACATGAAAAAAATCAAGACACATGTTTACTGTAAAAAACAAAAAAAAAGGTCTATAAGCTGAGACAGAAGTGAGATTTGAAATAGCTGGGCAGTTTACTGCATCCACTGCATTTTGCAAATATAGTTGGATGTTGAGTAGAGAATGTATTAATGCACTGACATAAACATAGAATGAATTACAAAAATGATGTTAAGATAGCACAAAATGTCTTTGCAACTTCCAATACTTGACAGCAGTCATTGCTTCAACTGCATGAACTGATCACCTACAACATGTTTGCCTTATGAAAGAAACTCCAAATGGAAGCTGGCTGTCCGGCCGTACAGTACAGCCACATCGTTTCATAAAGTTTCTCTCAGCACATTCTCGTGCAATTTTTTCTTCTGTTATCAGAAACTGTAAATGAAGTTAATTTTCCATTTAGGAAAGTGTTGAAATTTTCCTGCAATGAATAAGGGATTAATGCCTCATGATCATACCAGAAACATCCATTGTTAAACCTACATCCAGTAGGTTTAACAATGGGATCTTTCAGATGTGAACTCCTTTCACTAATTCTTACCATCACAAAAGAAAACCAAATAGAAATACAAAACTAAATCAGATAGTGGAAGAGAAAGATTGAAAGAATGATTAGAAACCACGGCAATAAAGATTAGCTTGGTAGCATAGTGAAATAAATTTCCCTTTCTTTTCCTAAATCCTGCATCTACTTTCTAATTATTTTTATAAACTTTTGTCGAGCCATATCCGTCCAGAACATGTGCATTTGCTGTGTTTGTGATAGAACAAAGGGAACACAGCACCGGATTTAATCAGTTAATTCAAAGACAAAACATACGAGTAACAAATCAAGACTTTAGGACAAAAAAGCACAATCAGCAAGATCTCTTGAAAAACTTTTTGAAACCTTTTGTTAAGGCTCTACAATGTGTGTGAGCTGTAAGAATATATCCAACAGGAAATGAAAAAACAAGATGTCTTCCTTGAAATGGACTTGTTTGAAATATTATTTTACACAGATTTGATCTTCAGATCGAATTTTGACTAAATATGATAATTATAGTAATAATAATATAAACTTAATTTTTGACGAGGCAACTTAGAATCCTGTTAGAATAGAATTGAACTGCATAACTCTGGAATGGAAAGGACGCCTGGGTATATTTCCCTCCCACCCTGGTCCATGAACTCAAAAGAAACAAAGAATCATCGCTTCATCTTTTTATCTTTCAAGTAACTTATGACCCGTCTTTTTGCCCTTTTAGTGCCGGACTGCTTGAATCGGTCATTGCAAACAAATGAACATTGTTCATATCAAGTGACATGGTCACGATGAAGCTGAAGAAGTTCTTTGTTTCTTTCAGGCTGGAGGTCTGGTGTGCTGGGAAGCACAAGGTTGGTGGTTCGATTCCAGACTGCCCCATGTTCCATGTCGAAGTGTCCCTGAGCAAGACACCTAACCCCTAATTGCTCCCCGGGCAAAAATGTGAAAAAGCCGTGGGTTTAAAGTGTAATGTAAGTCGCTTTGGATAAAAGCGTCTGCTAAATGACCTGTAATGAATGAAAACAAGGCTGAAACAGTGATAAAAGTTTAGGGATGATTTATGATGATTATGATTTATCCCTATATGTGACCCTTATCACATTAAATCTAGTCACTTGACTTATTTTATGAATATAAAAATGTTGATTAGAAAGTTATTTAAGCTGAGGCAGTAGTCTACACACCAATCATCAGTAGCTTTCAAAATATAGATTGTGCTCTGCCCCAGTAAGTATCTGCAAATTCATTCATTTTGAATTGTCAGTATATTTCTCTTGACAGATTTTTAACAAACGACCTGGGATAATATTTTTTGAAAATAAGTTTAATAAGTTTGTCACAAAATCAAGCTCGTCGACCTTCACATTTGCACAACAATGAAACTCATGACTTCTAGCAGCAGTTAAGATTGTGTCGTTCACACACACCGACACCCACACAGGCTGCAGAGAGCAGGATGGAAGGATAAGTCATTCACTTGCTGCCAAATTAAACAGCTATACCTCACAGTATACAGAGGTGCTGCAGGTGCACGGCCGCGTGCGTGTACCACCGACAAACTGAGTCGTCCACCTCACAAATCATAATGCCAAGGCGAGGAGCGCGGCTCTCTCTGTCTATCCTTCATTTCCATTTCCTTCAGTGAGGCGCAGCTCCCATCTCTCTATCTATATTTGATGGTTCTCTTCTCTCTCATTTTGTTTCGGTTTGCTTCTTCCCACCTAAGCTTTCTCTTTTCTCCCACCTTGCTGTGTTACTTCACTCATGTTAAGTCCCCCCACATGGCTCTCACCCCTTTTATATGACATCCTTAATATAAATTCCATAATATCTCCGACTCTTCTCTAATATTTTACTAATCACTCAGATCATCTTACTAAATCAACTCTACATGGTCTCTGGAGTTGGTCAGAGAAAGAGAGCAGCATAGATGATGCTGATATTCTATTAGTCGCACGGACGCTGCTTGTACACAGGCAGTTCCTGTCCAAAAGACGGATATTTAACTTGACTGTAGCTGATCAGGGGATATATTCATTAAAAAAAGCAATAATAAGCATTTATATGGTTGTCAATCAAACAATCTTATGCTAAATACCATGGTGAGCTTCCTGCGGCTGGTACGATGTAACACAACTGTTGCATGTGATGTCGTGTCCACTGGGTCCCTGAGACATGCCCAGGACAACTCCCACTTCCTCCATCAGGTTTCCCAGTGTATACTTCGTCGTTTGTATACCAAGGTAGACAGGACCTACATTTCCCCTTTTTCTATTTACCCCAGACACCTTGTATGTAATATAAACGTGTAGGGGGGGGGGGGGGTTACGGTGTGCAGCTGATAAAAATGTGGTTCGATACATGTTCTTAATAGAAAATAAGCAAAGGCCAACAACTCTGAGTCTGAAAAATAATGAATCGTATTATTTTTGTTTTGATAAAAAATTAAAACGGGTCCCACAGATCCGAATACCATACAGGGGTTGCTTGTATGGTGCAATGCCCAGATGAGATATTACAAGACTGCCATCCGCTTACCAAGACGAACAAAAAGGGATTGACACCCACCTGTCATGCCCGGAGGTGTTTTCAAGAATTTCCCGTTGAAATTTTGAATCACCACATCACACTTCTCTGTTGACTCCATCCTGACAGAGAGAAAGAAAGAGGTGTTACGTGAGGACAATCAGCTCCATTTGTGACTGTTAAACATGCACGAAATAAACAGTGTTTCTTGAAAAATGAACTGCATGTGTATTTGTGTGCAAGCACATTTGTTCCACAACAGGCCGAGCACATTAAATGGCTGCCTGTTGTGCTTGTTTGTCTATGCATGCCTGAGAAATATGCCTGAGGTAGGCCTGTTCACGTGTGTGTGTTTGTGTGTCTGTGTGTTTTCTATGGTGTTTCCTCCCCTTTGTCTGGATTTAAAAGCTCCATTCAGTGTGATCTGTCAAGTGTCATGTCCTCTTTGTCTAGCCCCATTGAGCTCTGCTCACCCAATCACAGCTCAATGACTAATTGCCTGCTTGGCAAGCAAAAAACAATGTGTGTGTGTGTGTGTGTGTGTATTTGGGAGAGGAAATTGCTGACGTGGGAGAAAGGCCGTGTGTGTGCTTGGAGTATGTGAGCATGCATGTCTCTGTGTGTCTTGGGTTTTCTGCACATAGACGGTGACCCCGAAAGGACTGCGAGTTAATCACTGGCACGCGCCACGGTGTAACTGACAAGACCACACACACACACACAAGGGTAAAGGGGCCCAGCATGCAGGAAATAGCATACGGCATACAGTTGTATGATTACAGCAAGAGTTCTTTGTTTGTAAATGGCAGGAACTCAACTCGCAATGTGCGTAATGTACACCGAAAAAATAAATAAGTCAGCTGATAACTAATGCATATTATGTGGTGCCTGATAAGTAATTTTAGTTCACCCAGCGGCAGCTTACATATAAGTACATCTACACGTCACTCAACAGGTGTGTAAGATTTGTTTCTTCAGCAACAAGAGCACATGGTTGACAGTGGGAAGGGACACCAACAAAGAGGTGGTGTCGGATCATTCTGATCTTTCTCTTCTACTATCTTTGTTGTATTAACAGTTTTTGTGATGGTAAGACAAATGGACAACGACAGTGAAAAGAGTCCACGTCTGAGCGAAGGCCCATCATTATTCAGTGGATTTAATGCTAAATGCTTCTGACACTCTAATGTGGCATTATTGCCCGATATGTGGTAATCTGACAATCATAATCTCATGGTTGCTATGGAGACAAAACAAACAAAGATTTTGGAACGAATAAATAACGTGATGAAGCGATCACCCTTCAGCATAAAAGTGAAGAATGAAAGAAAGAAAGAAAAAGAATCTCATGACTTTATCTTCTTCTTTTCCGAGAGGCGTAAGCGGCAGTGACAGTTTGTGTGACTGTGAGTCTCTCTCTGTGCATACCGAGCAAAGCCGACTCCTCTGCTCAGGCCGTTGGCATCCCTCAGTATCCGTGTGGAGATGACATGACCGAAGGGCTTCAGCATGTTCTCCAGCTCCTGCTCATCCATGGAGAGGGGCAGGTTTGAGATGTAGAGGTTGGTGGGGTCTTGCTCCTGTTGCTGTTGGGAGACACAGTGGCAACAGTTATCAGCACTGCGTTTGGTTTGGACAAAGACAAAAGGGTAAATGGATGACAGAGAGGAGAAGTTGCGTATTTCAGGTGGCTCTTAAGACTTAAGCACTGATTGAAAATGCTTTCTACGACCTTAAAAATAATCCCTGGGTCGCAAAGAAGATACTTTTACACTATTTATTCTCAAAAGGAATCCTGAAAGATCAACCACTCATACACATAGAAATGTACTGTATTGGTGAACAGTACAGATGTTGAACGTATCCTCATTTTCCATTGTGCTGGTCGTCACTTCCTTCCATGTAAAATGCTCGAACTGAAGGAAGTGACATAAAAGAGTGCTTTAACCATTTACTAAAATGTGGCTTTCCAGCAGCAAGTACATGCACAGTTGAGGCAGTGCCATTCAAGTTTTCTATTTCCATATTTATGACTGAATATGCCCCTACAAAATATCTGTGAATTTAACTCCAGCGGCAAACTCTCCTCAAAAGAGACATGAATGTTTTTCTGAAAAGGCAGCACAGCTGCTTCTCACACAGAACCCCCGCAGCCATAAGCAAACCCCCTTAGGATCGTAGGTGTTAACCGAGTTGCATTACAAATTTCCAAGGCAATGAGGGAACTTCCTCCTAATGCGCCGCTCAGTTAGTAAGACTGTAAAACTTCAATTATTTGTGTTCTATTTAGAAGCACCCCATTGAAATAATGCTGCGCAGGAGAGCAAAGCCTGTGTGCATTTGTAAATGACAGACGGGTCGATGTGGGAGAAGGTTTGGTGGAGTGTATTTCATTTTTTATATTCGATACAGCCGGAAAGGAAGAGTCACAGAGACGCAGGTCTTTAATAAACCCGATACCCAAACTACATTTCAAGACCCTCCTTATATTCTTTAATACTATTTGGATGTGGTTCCCCAAACTGCCTTGGTGAGGGTGCTGTGATGTTGCAATGCTTCATGTTTTTTTACTGCTATTCTGGCTTTATTTCTCCTTCGTGACGTAATGTATGAATAATGGCTTTTCGTAACAACTTACAGAATGTCAAAGAGTAAACATTAGTATTTCCCAAATTTGATTTTCTTCTCATTTCTTCTCATGTGCACAAAGCAGGACTCACCCTGTGAAGTGGCGGAATGTTTTGGTGCATTTGATTGCACCAAATGTTCCATGACTGTTGTCATGGAAAATAGAAAAAAAAATGTGTGCAGTGTGTACTATGGGGATTTCTTCAAATAAAATAGAGTTCAGTTAAGAGTCAGAAAATTGTATTTTAGTGATATATGCGTGTATGTGTTTACTTGGGTGAAGAGATGCCATATGTGGCTCATTATGAGCATAAATATTTCCTTCATCCATGGAGGCTTTCTCTTCGCATGCACTAGAGCTGTTTGATTTCAACAGTGGGAGTTCCAAATCTCTCCGACTGTGACCAAAGCCGTCTATGTAATCAGTTACTCAGATTAACAGAGAAGCTCCAGTGAGGAAGTCTGAAATATTGTGCCTTCCTTCTCAGTCTGAATATCTCTCCTCGTCAGCGGGGATTTTCCTTTGGCAAAGTGTCCAAATACACAGAGTGGCACAGTTGTCTTCCCACACAGGGCAACTGGCTTTGAATCTTTCACATTTGCTTGTGTGTGTGTGTGAATTTCTGCAAGCAGCAACATCAAAGGCATAGAAGCATCTGTATCAGCTGGGGAACCTGTCGTTGATCTTAAAAGAGTTACGTCATAACAGCCAAGACCCCAAACGTCTTTCACTGGAATCACAGACGTGCTGACCGATGGTTTCACTGCCTTTGAACGGCGCGGTTTCAAGAGTTAGTCACTTTTTAAAAGACAGGTGACCATGTGATCATTCAAACATGTAATGCTGGCTGCATTCGTCCGTTTCATCTAACGGATTCCCTAATGCCTTTATTGCAACTAGTCTTTCAAGCAGGAGTTAATATTTTGCAAATCTTTAAAATGGTTTAGAGCAAAGTGTATGTGACTTCTCCTTATCATCAGAACACAGAGACACTTCTCTCACACTGCATTGCACTGGTGTGATTCAGTAGCATTGTGCTATGCACAATAAGAAATAACCAGTTGCTGCGAGAATCCGTTAAGACCTTTAAGGCTCTAAAAAATGTGACTACCAAAGAGATGATTGAGCATTGAAACACTGGCTAAAGCAAATGAGGCTAAAGCTCAAAGGTACATTGCACATCCAAGTCACAGGAATTCAGTGGAGAAATCACCGAAGAAACAAATATGCATCCATCTCCGTGTTACACTGTTTCGACTTGCAGGTTCCCGTCATTCCAACAACTTAGCTCCAGAGCACACCTGAAGCTACACTGCGCTATGCTTCAGCGCCTCTCTGGCTGTGGAATTTGTCATTATCAACAACAACTTGCTCAACTTGGCGCGAAGGCTTTTTCTCCCCACAGTTACTCTGTGTATACAAGAATCTCCTCTGGCCGTCTTTGAAGGCAACAATGATCGAATCCTGTTCTCCGTGCCTGCAGTACATAAAAATGATTGAGGTTAAAACAGAAGATTTTCCATCCTTGTGGTCAATGGAGTCGCAAGCGAGACTTTTGCACAAAATCTAAAAGCGGGTTTCCCAATTTGAATAAAAAGTGGGTTCAGCTCTTTTGTTTCTGCTCACATTTTCCGTACACTTCTCAGTTACTGTAACAAGGGGAATAAATACAAATTTGACACAAACAAGGAGGATGCCATAACCTCTCCAGCAGTTGCTGATTATACGCATCCCTCTGCCTGCCTGAAAACATAACATCATGTTTTTTCTATCATGTTTAGATCCAGAGATATCAAGGGTAAAGAATCAACAGGGGTGGGTTATCAAAGTCACATTACACTTCACTACACCATCTCCAGACACAGTTGGCTATAAAACCATTTATTTGCACAAGTACATCGGGGACATGAAATGAAGTACTTCGGAGCACCCACATGTGAATGAACTCTGTTTGACTTTGCTCAAAGTCGCCGCCTGAATAAAGTTACTTCTCCGGGATATCTCACACTGCATGTTGCATTTTACTCGCCTCTCTCTCTCTCTCTCTCTGTGCCCCTTTTCTCCTCTCGGTCTCTTTGTCTCTTTATCTCTCCCTCTCTCACTGAAACATCTGTCATGTGCTGGAAACCGCCTCACACCAACTGTGCCTCTCTCGCTGACTGTGTGGCCGGTCTGCCAGCCAGTCAGCCAGTGTTTTCAGCCCCATTAAACCTCACTGCTGCGATATCATAGCAGGTCCGCACCTCTTATCGTGTTGCCTTCCTGGTTACCCTGCAATGCAACAACACCTGCTGATGAGCTAGAGGGTAAAGAGAGGGCGAAGCAATGGTTAAATACCTGTGCAAAACGCCGGCGGGGTCTGTACACTAGATGGATGGATATGAGGTGAGATGGTACTTGAACGTCACACTTCTTTGCAATCCCGCCTGTGTCTCAAATAGCAACACGTCAGAACAGAAACAAATGGCACATCACGGTACCCTGCAACCTTGAACAGGAATGAGCGGGTAGTGAATATGGATAGATGGGAAGTGGAAGAAATTACGGAAAGACATAGGCCGGGAAATGCTTTGAAAACAAGTTGCAAGAGCACTTCCGTGAAGAAGCAGTATATGATTAGGGAAATGAGACATTCTATTCATTGCACGTTGACTGCTTGCTCTTACATTTCATGCTGGTCTTCGCGCAATCCTGCTCATTTCCCTTTTTTAATCCATGCATTCCTCCTTCTCATTTGGCCTCCTTCAGCCACTGTGCTCAACTCCCTCCTCCTCTTGTCCTTTACCCCCTTTCTCCCTGTTCTCCCTTTCTATTCCTCAGATCCATAACTTCTCTCCTATTATGGTAGCCTTCTCGTCTGAATGCTTAATTCATATTCAAAGATCAGCATTTCCCTTCTTTTCCTTTCCCTTTTACCTCCTAACACCCTTCCCTCTTCCATATCTTTCATTTGCCTCTTCACATCATCTTCAGTCCTCATTTCCATTCATGCCTCTTTCTCTCTTTGCATTTCTGTCTTCCTCCATCTTTCTCTTCCTCAAGCCAAGATCTTATATTTCATAATGATTGTCTGGGTGTCTAAACACTCTCTAACGGCTTAATCAATACTTAATGAACGTACCATAAATACTTTATGAACCCTAAACCCTGAAATCCCCAGGGGTTCATGATCCATGCAGATATACACATTTCTCCATCTTCATGATGCCTTCAGGCTCAGTGAAATCTACACTGGATACTGATTACCTCAACATTTAGTCTCTGTTCAGTTCACACTATATTACCGTTGGGGGCCACTGCTTCTAATGTGCATGCGTTTGGTCTTGTGCAGTAGGTCTGCAGCGTTAAAGAATATGGCGATAAGTCTCTATTCATAACTTCTTTCTTTGTATCAAGTGTCTCTTGGGAAGAAACAAAGGTTGAAGTTTGGTTTCTCTAGAGAAACACATGTGGCTTTTATTTTGCTGCGAGTGATACAGGAATTCAACCGACACGTGTATCTGAGCTAAATTGGCTTCAGAGATAATTAACCAAAAGCGGATTTAACAATTGAGTCAATACTCAAGCATCATTAACACTGGGTCTGGAGGTTTTTCAAGTGATAATATTCTCATGGAAATATTCAGGAGGAGAAAAGCTTTTGTAACAAAATGCTTCTTTTTTTTCCATTCTGGGGCTCTCTAGCGGCTGTGAAGCATAAAATAAACCCTGACGATTAACAAAAATGGCATTACACTTGACAAAGTGAGAGACTGACTATGCTTCAATGTTTAATTCAATTTCATGACGCGCAGAACATTTTTCCCCTCTCTGGGTTGCATCGCTGCCTGCGTCTACACACCCTCTGCATGACTCATTTAAAGCAATAAGAGATGCCTTCCTATATAATGGGGGCTACACACACAGTTCTCATATTATGTAGTTGCACATGCAGTTATTACTCAATTATTTGCATGT